CCTATTTGAAGTCCAATGAGGAATGCATTGTTGTCAAGGTTAATCTGGTCGAAGAAAAAACAGTCTGCTTTGGGATTTGCGCCTGTCACGATACAAAGGGAAACGTTGCGTAATGATTCATTTCAATAATGTATTTTTTTCTCCTTGAACCCAGCAGCCATTGAGCGCAGAGCAGGGGGAAAGGATGCCCGAGGGCGCCTGACCTCTGACTGTTTAATGGCTTGTAAAGGTGTCAAAGGTTAAATAATGTTTCCACACATTTAAACGCCGACTAATTGGCTATACGTTTTTGTTGTTGTTGTTGTTGTTTGTTTGAGCGGTGACTAAAGCTCGACGGTATTTACAGCTTTCTTAGGCCTATTGTTAAAATTACGTTTTTATAAACATCATTTTCAGCTAGCCTAAAGGGTCTATGCTACGTTAGCTTTATTAAAAAAGCTGATATTTAACTAGAAAGTGCTATTTTTAATTTTTACTATAGCCAATTAATGATCTGTTTTTCGTCAACTTAATTCAGACGATTCATAAAGTGTGTCTAATCGGGATTTCAGCAATTAAAACTACTTAGAAAAAATTAATTAGGCTATAGGCCTACAAATTGAACTGTTTTCCTAAGTGTTATAAAATTCGCCCACGCAAATATCCCACACAACCTGTAGCCTCCATTCCGTGTCCCTGATGAGTCTGGTGAGGAAGCCGCCAGTTGGAGGACGAGAAGATGGGGGGGGGGGGGGGGGGGGGGGGGGTCCAATGTCCAAGCACCGCTGAGGAGCCACTATAAGGTTTGTAGTGGCCAACTGGCATAGCAAGGAAATCTTTATTATCCAAGATAATTTACAGTTAGGTAACAATTACGCAGTTGTGGAGGAAGCATTTAGATAATTTACATGGATCAGATAAGAAAGAGTTTTTCTGCCAAGTATTTTACACGTAGGAGGAATTTGCTTTGGTCATAAGGTGCAACAGAGCTAAATGTAGAAATATAAAAATATGGAATAACCGGATGCAAGTTATAAAATAATAGTAAAATAATAATACAACAATAATAATATTAATAATAATAATACAACTATGAGAAAAAATAGCAACAGCCTACTGCAATAGGATATAGAAATGCATCTCCATCTCTATAGAAATGCAAATCCATCTCAAGAGCTCTGAAGTGAAAATGCAACTAGAGTAAGCCAGGTATTATAAGCAAAATGCATTTATGAATCAAAAGTAAAAGTGAATATTCAAAAGTGCCAGTACATTATCGGATTATGACTGATTTACAGTTGTAGTTTGTCAAGGTGGGCCTAATTTTAACTAGTTTAATAGTTTTGCATGTTAATCTGTAAACAAACTAAATTACAATATTTGCCATGTCTTATTGTAGTGAAGTTTACAGTAGCATCAAACGCAAACACTAGTAATACTACTAAAATGCAAGTACATTAAATATGTAATTAAGTAGAGTTCTTGAGTAAATGTAGGCTACCTATCTCTCAGCACTGTAATAAAGAAACAGTTTTCTGGTTTTCTCTCCTCATGCGCAACAGCTGTCCAATTTTGTACCAAACTACATGCAGCAATGAAAATGTTCTTCATATGTTGTGCTCTCAGAAACACTTAATAAATGGTGTGTACCCTGGTGTGGTATGCATCGGTACGGGGGAGACTTGACATGCCTGAGGTTGCCCTCATTTTCTAACTCTGCCCTACAGTCTATAGTAGTAATACATTAAGGAACAGAAGATTTTTTTTAGTCTGTAGAACCTTAATGAAGCTTAGTTTTACAGAATTAAGATTGTTTTTTAAAAAAGATATCGTTTAATAGGCTGAGATTATTAATATTTTAAATACTTGCAAACTAAACAAGTGGCAGATAAGGGAAATTGCGCCTACTGGAGGAATTCTAATGAATTGCACCTCAATATAAACTAATGTGATCAGCATGGTGCCTATAGAAAATATCCTCCACATTACCTTTCTACACATGCTCCTGAATAAGCTCCTGCATGCTTTCAGCAGGCATCTGCCGTATTTCAATGTATCCTTCATTTTACACAGAGTTTAAAAAAAAAGAGCTACCTGCTTAGGCCCAGTTACATTGCAGAACAGTTCATATGCCCAGATGTCTCAGGCTCCAGGAGACACGGTGCCAAGGACTTGCCATTAAAGTATGGAGAGGTAGAGGATGGATGATAATGCGACCTGAGGTATCATTTGACACTCAGCTGCATCTGGAACATCTGTTGTGACAGGCCTATCACAGTCTCGATTCGTTCTCCTCACCTCTGTGTACATTTCTGCCGCTGAGCATAGCCTGCCTGGTGTATCTGGGGACGGTTATTAAACCAACCAGAGTCCTCCACCTAAACAACAGAACATGTGTTTCGCATGTTCCCCCCCTACGGCCTCTCGACGAATACAAAAGGTGCTATGGTTTATGGTGCGCATGAGGTTGCTGACGGACATTTTATGTGAGTCATCAAAGCACATCACCACCACTGGGCAAGAGTACATTTGTATTAAGTCACATTTAAAACAAAATAAATAAAACCAATTTAACAGTGAGGCGGAACATTGGTTTTGGCCTAGAGAGACGGGATTATTCTCCTCAAATCATTCTTTTCCACCATTTATGTTTTCTAAATAACCAGGCTCAGTGTGACGTCTTACATGTCAATGAATACCCCCAAAAGGCTCAGGGAGTGACAGCATCAACCACATGCACAACCACAAACCAATGGATTAGGTCCTATCCCAAAGCCAGGCTGACCTCTGACCCTCCAGGCGAAGGAGGACACACGTAAGGTGATAAGTGAAGCACAGGGTCTATTGTGCAGAAGGTCTCTGTCCATTTATTGACTTCCTAAATGATCCATTATGAAGTGATTTACGAGGTCCACCGCCACCCCACCAGACACTTCTAAGTCCGGTGGGTTGCTGTCTGCTCTATTCAGCAGACATCTGCACCATTGGACCCAGCATTTGATTTATCAGAGAATGGACGGAAGCTGGCCCACGCCACCTATAGTGTTTGCTCAAAGCCAACAGGAGAGTTAGGAAGCTGTTATGAATGCAATATGTCACCAGCGGGGTCAGGGACAAAAGGTATAGACGGAGCTCTGCGGAGAGAACAAGGTAAGCATGTCATTAAAACCACGTTCTTGAAGAAACAAGTAAGCAAAGATTTCTTAAAAAAATAAAAAGGTTTTCAACAATTTCCAAGTATGAACATCCAAAAACGTAACTTTGAATACAAGCAAGTACCAAACCTGCACTTTACACACTTTTTTTCAGTGACAGTAGTGTCACGGCAGGGCAGCTTGTCGAGCACATGACCTTGTCTTTCCTCTGTTCACTAATGATTCGTGGCCATTATGCTAGTCTGGCTCTTTGATTTCTCAGGCCTTTCCTGTACAGCATGATGAGCTTCTCAACTTGGGGTCATCCCGGGAGACAAAGCCTTTATGAAGCAGAACGTCTGGCGTTTGAAGACCCTGGCCCCCTGGCCTCCGGGCACCGTGTTGTAACACACGAGCTCCCATGCTGCTCATTGACTCACAGAGATATTATTAGAGACAGTGGACAGAAAAACAACACCTCTCTATTTTCTCTGGGACTTTCACAACAAAACCCTTTGCCTCGGTCATGACAAATGCCTGTTTCTCATAAAGACATCTGTATTTGGGATTGCATGTGAAGTAAATGTACAAGTTAACAATGGTCGTATTTTAACATGCAAATGCTGATGAATCCTCTCACAAAGCACATTAAAACATAGGATTTTCTTTTTACATCCCGATGGTTACGTTAATGTAGATTTCTTCATTTTTTTCCTAAGCCTTTTTTATTTACAAAAAAGGTCATACTTTAAAAAATAAAATCAGCTCTTGAACAGTTAATACTGACCAGGGAGCGCATCTACAGATCAGCACTTCCTCTAAACCAACATCTCTGTTCTTTATGTCCCCGCTGTGATTAACCTTGTTTGACAAATACAGCTCGGGTCAGGCTGGAGGGCCGCTGTGTTAAGCCGAAGCCTGCTAGAAAAACAACACGGGATTACATAGCTGCTCAGGTGCGTCGTATACCTCAAATTCAAATCCACTGGAGCAAATCTCCTATCAGATAAGTCAACACAATCACATCACAAAAGGGCTTTAGCAAAAGGTGGCCTGCCTTCTTCCGTGCCTACTTAACTATTTGAAATATATCAGACATTTTAACTGGCCCTACATCGTAGGTTAGACTGTGCCAGATATATACACAGGTGTATATTTATTTGTATACACAGTAGGAATACTTTGTCATGAAAATAAGGGTAATCAGGGTGATCTTTGCATGCGGTTGATGCTAGAGCTTCTAACAGCCGTTCTAGCATGAAGATGCATTAAGTGCAACCTTACTAAAGACAATTTACACTATGGCAGACACGCTGTGTAAAAAAAACACATCCATATTAGTACCAAACCCAGAGTTAACAAGGCAAATATTTATTATATTATATTTTATTTATTTATTATATATTTTATATTTCATATGTTAAGATTAGACAATGCAGAAATGGCATTTTAGATCTGTTAAAGCTTTGGTAGGCAATGTTGAAGAAACTAATAAGAGACATTTTGAAAGTATTCAGGCCTCCCTCTAGTTTCATGTACAGTGATGGCAAGGGATTTTTTTTGGATTTATTGATTGCTGTTGGGATGTTAAGAGGACTTCAACAAATATAACAAAAAATGCTTGTGAAATACATTAACTACCCTATCTGTAAGGAAAGAATAGTATCATGAGTCAATAAACGTTGGCTATTCATGAAGTCACTAATGTAATTTTAGTTTGAAATCAGTTAAGATTGATTTCAAACACCAGTCCTTACTCAAGTGAGAATATGCTGAGCGGCAGACCAGTGTCTATTTTTGGGAATAATGTAGCAGGACGCAGACATTGTGTGAGATGAAGTTGAACTCATTTTGGACAAATATGGACAAAAGTAACCACTCGCTATATATATATTTTTTTTTTTTTATTATTATTATTTTTTTCCTTAGCATGTATACACCAGGTTTTTAGATCCAGATGTCACTATATTCAAGATCAGGTTCCATGTGGACGCTACTATTTTAGCAAAGGCAAGTGTCACACAAATATATTTCCCCTATTTTTATACTCTCCGTCTGTCCTCAGGGCTCAGAGCTGAGGTGAGCCCTGTGGTCAGAAGGTGGAAACCAGATGAATTTGATTCATGACAACTTTGAATTAGCCATTGCTAATTCATCCACCCGTCAATATCATTTGGCACTAGGTGGTGAGATCACTGCAGGACCTAAATATCAAGACACTAGTAAAGCTAAACATAATATACACAGTCCAGATGTTCAAATATAAAACCATTGCTGTAGACTATTTCTGAATTGTTGGCCACTGACACCAGTTTGGTTGCACCAACATCAGTCCAGATGAGGTTAATATTAGCAGTAATATTAAAAGTCCTTCCAAAGCTCAGAGGCTCAGCCGGTGTCAGCTCCCTCGTTGTATATTGACCACAAGCTGACCCGCTGGTCCTTGGATCCAGCAGCCAACAGTCTTTGTCTAGGGTCTTGGTGGTCAGAGAAGGCCACGCTCAGCACCATGTCAGTGTGGTACTGAAGCACCGCCAGTGGTCGCAGCTTCTTCCACCCAAAAACCCGCACCCGATGGTCCCAGCCCGCTGACGCCAGAAGCTTACTGTCCCCCCTGATGCACAGCTGGGAAACCCCAGGGTTGACCAGCATCACACAGTCCTGGAGCTGTAAAATCACGAAGAGGAAGAAATCTTAGCAGGTGGTCAAAGCAGGTTAGAACCATGTATCAAGAATAAAAATCTCAAACCAAATGAACCTATTGTTCATGCAAACAATGAGACACAAATAATCAGACAAACTAATTAGATCAGTGAGTCGATTAATCTCTGCCAGCTAAGAAACTAAGGCCAACACAAACACGTACAGGGAGACTACAGAGAGACTATCAGCTGATCTGATGACTGAGGTCCAAGTGTGAGGCTGGACGTCTGTTGAACCTGGCCGTAGACTCCTGGGACTCAATCATCGGCCATAAAACATTATGGCACGAGGGCTGCACGCAAATCTCTCTGCGTCCCCCTATTTGGTTTGGAGTAATGGAGGCCTATTCTGGAAGCACGATTTGAGTTACCTTTGTCACAGTTTGCAAGAAAGAGAGAGAGAGCATCTCGCTGAAATGCTTGTTTGCAGAGGCCTTGTTGCTTTAAGCGCCTCTGATGAATTACATTCACACTGAAAGGTCTGGTCAGCGGGAGAAGAGACCCGATAAATACACGGCTGTAACGTCTGCCTGCTAAAGATTAGCCACAGCTCCCTCTCCCTGTGATCTACAGTGTCCCAATGACTGTATCAATCTCTCTAAAGGGGCAACATTCTGACATATTATAATGAATGGCGGCTAAGATCACTTTCTAAAGGGCCTGCTGCGGTGGGCATTCCTGGGGAGCGAACGTGCTCTTCCTGCAGACTAGGGATCTCTGCTGGACCTGTAGATGGGATACAAACATCTGGACATGGGAGCTGAAATCAAACTGGACAGCGTAAAAATTGACTTCATAAGTTGTGTCTAGGGAGACTAATGGCCTTGAATGGGAGGAGACTTTGGGGGAATTTATCTGCATGCTCCTGTTCCGGGCAGGAACCATCCACAAGCTGCATGTGGAAGATATAAGCCAGGTACTCATAGCCCAAGTGGATAAAGTGGAATGCAAGGGAGAGAGGGAGCAGGGAGGAATGTCATTGATCAAAACAGAGCAAGAAAGCTAAGGTCAGAGCAGGCAGTGATGGGATTGTCTTTTTATTTTTTTGTTAATCAAACCATCATCGCTGGCACCACTAGTGTGAAACAGAGTGTGGCTGGTTAGACCAAACAAGCCAGATACGCTGATACAAAGAAACCCGGGGGGTGAAAGATTGTTTGGAGCTTTGTTATTACCTCAAGAAGTCGGTATGCCCCTTCCTCTCTCCATCTGGTTTGCATTAGAGGCCTGATAATGATGGGTTTAAGTGTCTGTTTTTGTTTGTTTTGCTTCCCATAGTTTGTGTCAGGAAATGGCATTTGTTTCATTAGAGGGTCAGTTGTAAGCAGTAAATGGCTAATGATGCAGTAATGGTCATTCAACAGGGCAGGCTGGCTAATTGTTTTTACTTTCTACAGTCTGAGAAAGCACAAAGAAAATCGGTGTCCGGTGCTATAATTTTAAAGTAATGGTGCTCTTGTGCAACTATGCTGGTTCCCGAGCTGCCCGTGATCCGTGTTTACTCTGTGATTTCATGTGGCCGTGGCGGTTGAGCGTATTAGTGCTGAAACGATTGACGGATTAATTTATCAACACAAAAGTAATCATCGACTATTTTGAATCGTTTTAACTCATTCATCAAATAAAAATTCCCAACATTGGCTTGTTCTGCTGCTTTAATTCAGTTTTATCTTCAGGTTTTTAATTGTTTATTGTAAAAAAAATCTTAAGAGCACTGTTCACTACTTTCTTACATTTTAACTAATTCATCTATTAATCACAGAAACAGCAACACATGAATGTTAGTCTTCATACATCAGAAGTAAATGGATCATATTTGACAAATACAATGATTTTATATAGTAAATGACTAATCGACGGAGAAACTGATAGATGAATGGATAATAAAAATGACTATTAGTTGCAGCCCATGAAAATGTTTTGTCTCCAGATTAAAATAACTATTTGTTCTACAAAAGGAAATTGTGCTGTCATTTTATTTCCATGTTCTACAGCAGCAGCACTGTTGTTATTGCCGTAAAGCCTCACAACTGCTGAATAAATAGATAAATAAATAACCAGGTCTCAATATGTAATGAAATCCATTAGCTATAACCGGGGAGTGTTGGATCGCTGTAGTCGCTTGCTTCCTTACAACCTTATCAGACAGAATTTGTCTTTGGGCTTCAACATTTTTTTTCTTTGAACACTCCTTACTGGCCTGTGTTGCAGCATGCAGATACACACACACACACACACACACACACACACACAGCAAGACTGCTGTCTAAACGCCAGCTTTCTCAGCTGTCAGGAGGATACTAGCTCTGCTCAGCAGCTGGGCCCACTACCGCTTTTGTGCCCTACGACAGATCCAACACAAACCCACACTTCGGGATCCTCTTTTGTAGCATTTCGCCGACAGAGGAGACTTCAAAAGGAGCGTCCACTTGGCAGGTCTCACTCAAGCCTCGCTCCACTTTTCTCCCTGTCTTTCCCTCAGTCTTGGCACGGATCTTGGCGTTCACGCTCATCTACTGAAACGTCCCATCATCGCTCACTCACTCGAGCCGAGCGGGTGGGAGGCTTTTCGCAAGGTATTTCTGACACACCCTGTCCCTGAATCACACTCAGCAGCGGGGAGATTACAGCCTTTTGTCACCTTGCCTGTCAGAGCTTGGCTCCGGCTGACAGGAGATGGATGTGTCAAACAGGTGAGCAGACCAATCTACTAAAAAGAGGGGGGGCTCCATCATTTTTATGACAGCAGTTCATACATGCATCAGTCCAGAATGGTGTATGTAAAGCAGACGGAAGTTGGACCTGAAATGACCTGACCCATAATCACGACTGGCTGACAGGTACAAGAATACTGAGATGCAGGTGACTACTGGTTGGAGACCTTAGGTATATCTTCACATTGTAGTGAGGATGAGGGTCAGGGGTTTTACCTGTACAAAACTGTCATCAGTCTCAGCTTGCTGTCAGCCATGCTTGATTTACACTGCTAATCTTCCTCAGTCTATACCTGCTTTCCCTTTTCCTGTCCGCGACCTCTGTCTTTGTCTTTGTCCTGGAGGAGCCCGTCACTGCACTTGTCAATACATTTTAGTGGCCGCCTAAATATACGTCCATCTGGCTTAACAGCTTGTAAAGCCCAACGCCCACGCCCTCATAGTCTCACCCTGACACATTCACAAAAATGCACGCTAGAAGGAAAGGAGAAAAAGGGGCTGAAGATGATGCCTCATTACTATGAGAAGATATCAGGCCAGCCAGGTCAAACAGCAGATAAAGGCCTCTGGGAGCCATGTGTAATATATTAACCTCCATTCCTGAGGCTATCTGTCTTTATCTGGGCTTGATAAGCTCACTTCACAGCCCTTCAGCTTCACTAAATCATAACTCCACTGCGTTGTGTCACATTCAGTTTCCCCTACAGTTCACAAAAAGCATCTATCTGCCTTCCCAGCCAGCTCCGCTACACTGGGGTGTATCGCAGGGGTAATTTGTGGGAAGTGGGATGCTGTGGCACTTATAGCCTCCTCAGCCTTTATTGCACCCTCCCACTGTGAACTACTGTTCCCTTTACTGCAGATGTGTTTTTTGTTTGGTTAAGGGGCCTCCGAGGTTTTGATATTTTTATTACCTCTCACGGGTCATCCGTCAGGACGGGGTCCCGGGTCCACCACCAGGCAGGTCCCCCCGCCCCCTCACTGCTGCCACACAAAAATACTTTTGTGGGAAGAACTGAGGATAGCTGTCTGGACGTCACACTGAGCTGCACTTCAGGATAATTTAAAAGCCCCTGTTGGATCTTTTCCTTCTCCTTGTGCTTTTTTCCTGTCATCCTCATCCTGGATTACATGCTGAATCAATATTTTGTTGCTTGAGCAAAATAAACCAAATAACCACTCTCCTCCTGTTTTTGGTATATTGAATCAAATCCTTCGTGGTGTTTTTCTAGACGCATTTTCAGAGGGAGGAAAAAAAATGTGCTTTGCAAATATTTCTAATTCAAGCATTCATTTGTAAAAAAAAAAAAAAGCCTTGGAAAGAATAATACCCCTTCACTGTGCAGGAGTGTACTATATCAGCTTCAGGTTCCTTTCTGCTCTGATTCATAAGGGTTGGCCGCTAAATGGGAGCATTGCCTTTTGTTCATGAAATCAAGAGAAAATATAGCTTCAAATGAGGCGTTAAGTCTCTGGAGCGATGGCTGTTATGTAAAATGAATCATGGTACAAGGCTGATGTGATCTATTTTGGTGTGACATAAGATGCTCTAGTATGGACTTTAGTGTGTAGTTTAGTTTTATGTATTTGTGTGTGAGAATCTGTATGTCCTGTATTTTCAAGGTAAGTATGCATTAGTATCCCGGTAAAGAATAACATTTTATTAGTTGCTGAACTGCTAAATGAGATAAGTAAAGGATTTTTCCTAGTTGTTACACTTACAAGTACAATTGCATTTCCTGATGTGTTTTTAAAATGTAATGTGTGACTATATGTCAGTGTGTGGGTGGGTGGGTTAAATCTGGAGTGACAGATCCAGCCCGGCCCTTGGCCCCTGGCCCTGCCAATGCTGTGTAACCAGCAGCTGATTTATGGCCCCTGGAGCCCCGCTGAGCCTCTTCCTCTTTGGCCCCTGATGTTTTCCAAGAGAGCCTGGAGAAAGGCAACACTCGTCTCTTCCCATCTCCACCATTACCTTTTTTTAAGATTCCGTGGCATTTAGCTGGCTCTCTTGTGAAACAATTAGTTAGCAGTTTGGGGGTCCAGGAACTTAACGAGGGACACCTCAGTAGGAACGTGAACATTATAATGATTACTGGGTACATGGACTCCAGAAGGTACTTCTGCAGCTGGCAAGTCGTAGTTTGACATAACAACCAAAATAACTACCAGTAATTTGAAAAATATAGGTATTGTGATTTGATTAAAAACATATATGCACACACTGAGTCACTACATGTTGTGACTGAGAAAATCGTAGCACAACAGCAGATACGTCTTTTAGCGACAAGAAATAATAATAATAAAGGTGGAATAAATAGCTAAAAAAAATGCATAATCAATTAAAATAATAAGGTAAATGCAATAGATAGATAAAATGTTTAAATATTTATCTAAAAAATGGATAAATGGTTTAAATGTCCAATTGTATGGAAGAAATATAATAATAATATTAATAATAATATACACTTAATACTGGGCTTTAATAGTACTGCTCACCCAGCTTTTGGCACATTTTACTGTGTATGGATAACTGTCATAGTTAAATAAAAGAAACTGTTTAAAAATACTTGACATTTGGAACATGATGGGTGAAGGCGTACATTAGTTCATCTTACATGACTGTGGGGGTTCATCAGACAAAAAAACGTTTGGGGACCTCTGGACTAGACAACACCACTGTCCTCTGTTCTCTGCTGACCTGCAGGTTGTTCTGTCTGTCCAGCACCCAGGAGGAGAGTTTCTTCTCAGAAGAGCCTGATATGCCCCTCAGACGCTTGGTGTCAAAGGTCAGACACATTACAGGCTCAGGGTGGGCTTTGGCTTGGCTCAGCTGGGACCTCTGGGTTACATCCCAGAGCAACAGGGAACCGTCCTCGTATCCAGCCACCAGGAGAGGTCCGGGACCCGAGTCTGGCTGGAAGTGAGGGAGAATGATAAGAGAAAGGAGGAGGGACAGCGAGATGGGAAGAGAGAGCACAAAGAGTAACGTGAGGTATGATGTGAGATGAGAGCTGTGAGGTAAAAAACCACAGAAACCGCTGTGTGGTGCTGGAAGCTGAGTGGAGCAGGAGGTTATCATCCTGGAAGCTCCCGCTGACACTCGGAAAGACGCTGTGGGCTCCATTCGTCAGCCTGCTGCTCTCTCTTTCCAGCGCTCCATTACATCCCTCCTCACTTTGCTCCTCATCTATATTACTGAGCCACAGGCCTTGCTGCCGGCGAGGATAGAATAGTGACTCTCTTCAAAGCTACAGCAGTTTTGATTTAGATTTTTTAATATATTTTTTAAATTCATTATATTTTGTTTTGGTATATTTTATATGAAACCAATTTTACATTTACTTATTTAGCTGACGCTTTTATCCATAGCGGCTTACAATTGCTATGTGTGTCAAAGGTCGCACACTTCTGGAGCAACAGTGTCTTGCTCAGGGACACATTGGTGGATATGTCACAGTGGGGAATTGAACCCTGGTCACCCAATTTTCTTTAATGTGCTACTTTTTTATTATTTTTACAAACCTTCTCTCTCTCCTTCAGGACCTTTACTATAATCCACAATTACTGAGGCACAACATTAGGGCTGTAAAATTAAAAACATAACTAATGTACAGCACTCAAAAGTTTTACAACACCCCCATTTTTCTAGTTTGTAGTGAAATATAAGTAGTTTTCACTGGACTTGAACTACTAGTATTTCAGTACAAACTAGAAAAATGGGGGGTTTCTAAAACCTTTGACCAGTAGTGTATTTTAATAATCTAGAAATTGTTGCATCATTTGGTCTATAAAATGTCAGAAAAATGCAACGTCGAAAATTCCCAGAGCTCAAGGGGCAACTTTAAAAATTAAACTCATAAACAAAAAAACACACTAGAATTACTTCATGCCCATTTCACCCCGGGACATTACAGATCCAGCTGCAATGTTTACAACTGGTGAAACCATAAGAGTAAATCTTTCAAACCCCGTGAAATGAAATGAAACCAGGTGTACCAACAGGCATCCAATGCAAAACCTAAACTACACCACCTCTGTTAAATATACATGTACCAAGCAAACTGTACCAAGCACAACATGCAGTAATATGCATAAAAGAAGAGAAAAGTAAGCAACATAACATTTAAAACGAATGATAAAGCGGTGCCTCCCCACTGTTGGGAGTCACAGATAACCTCTCAGTGCTAGCTAGCTCCTTCTAAATGAGTGTGTTTGATCAAACAGGCGCAGAGGCTGTGTGGTTCTGTGAAGGAGAACATAAAGGGGAACTGATAAAAACTGGGGGCTTCATATATCTTTGCACTGCTGGAGGAAAGAAAGGAAGGACTGAAGGATCGAGAGAACAGAAGGTGGTATGGACAAAAATCCTCCCTATCACATTCACACATATGCCTGGACTGTTATCCAAACAATGACTGAAACTTTTCCAAGCTTAAAAGACTTCACACGGGCCTGTGGAACAGAAGAATACCTATGAACACACAGCACAGATATACACTTAGTCTCGACTCGTGCCTTTGCTTTAAAATACCATCAGGCCCCCAGCAGCAAGAGCACTGTGCCCTGCAGAAGCAAGGAGGGAAAGAAATGTTTTCCATATGTGCGAGGGGGCCATGTCTGCCATTTCTTCATCCATCTTCAAGTCCTCTTCTCACTTAACGCTCTATATTTCTCTTCTTCTAGCTTTAAAACAAATTATAGACAGAGTCGTGTATTCCTTCCAAACACATCAGCGAGGACTAACACTAAGGGATTATGAAAACAAATAAAAACAAGTGAAAATCAGTGGCCCCCTGCTTGCCGGCAGGGCCTGGGCTAAGCGTTCCAGGCTTGGGGCCCACCGTTTCACTTAAGTGGAGGACCTTCTTGATTGATGATGTCATGGGTCGGAGGTCGGGGAACCCTGGGTAGACACCTAATTCATTATATCCTCCACGGGCCTTTCTACAAGAGGGCTCTCTGCTGGAGTGGGGCTGGGGCTCTGAGAGGAGATTCATCACCACAGAACAGCTGGAAAGACAGATGAATGGGAGCTGGTTGAAGAGGCAGGATGGAGCCGTGAACCTGGCTCTTTTCTACAATGGCTACTAGTTGGGGTTCAACCTGTTAACAAGCATCTGACAGGTCGGTATCTGAGTACATAACGTGTTAAAATGCATTTTGAACAATTGCGATCAATGTCATTCTGTAATTTCATCACGTAAACAGCATTTTCATTATTAACAATGCAACTATTTCAAGCTTGTCTCCAGTCTTTTGGTCGCTCAGGCAGTTGGTTCAGACCACAATGGTCCAGATAGGTCATCAACGTGGCCTCTAAGTTCTCGTTACTTTTCTTCCTTCTTATAAAACAATCACATTTGTTGGAGAGGTTTAAAATCCCCCTGCTGCTGAGGCAACAAAAAAATACAAACATGTAAAGACCCTTTGGAAGACACTAAAAACAAGCTCGAACAAATAGAGACAACATAACTATAATTCCTGAACCATCAGAACTAAATCAGCTGTAGTTCCTCCAAGTTTCCAACTCAAAACAAATTCACTGCGCAAGCAGACTTCAGTTCCATGCACCGCTGAACTCCATGAAACTAAGTATTATTTTCATTGGCGATTTAATTTGCCAATTACCTCTTGAATAATCCATTAATCGCTTGGTCTATAAAATGTGTAAAAATGCCCAAAATGATATCGTCAAATTGCTGTCCACAGTCCAAAACTCAAAGATATCGAATGTAATGTCACATAAGACAAAGAAAAGCAGCAGATGCTTACAATTGAAAACATGGAACTAGTTAAAAAAGCTGAGGTTAAAAAGGACTTAAAGGATTAATTGAATTATTAAAAATGTTACTAAGTCACTCCATTACTTGCCATTTCTTAAACCATGTTTTTCCTCTTTCTCACTTTCATGATTTTTGAGTCAATGAATCAACAGACTTTCCATATGCCCTGTATGCTTCTACACTCATTACAAGTCCTTGAATTCAGCTGCACTATAATTTACTGCAACATGTTGACTAGATTTCCACTCTGGTCCAGTATGCACCAACACACATCTATGAGAGAATGTGATCATTACAAGCATTTGTCTCAACATTACAAGAGAAAAATAAAATTTGATTAAATCATGATTAAAAAGTCATGATTGTGAAATGTGTCACTAGGGAAGGATTGTCCATATCAGGCCTGTGGGCAGATTAGATCACCGTTTTGAAATGAACCAGTTTGTGTACATCTTCTGACATTGGAGAAAGGAAAAAGTCACTTATCATGTTTTAGGTTAGGGTTTTTTCATTTTTATGGAAGAAAGTCAGATTACTATAAGCACTCTAATACTGTTACAATGGCCTTTATTCATTTACAGCACAGATTCCAAAATTAAAATGCTTATATTGTATATAGCCTGTTAACAAAAAAAAAGTAGTAAGGCAAAACAGAAACTAATCAGTATAAATAAAGGCCTCCACAAGTGCCTGCTGATAGTGTCCATCTTTTTAATCATTATCATCTTGTATAGATTGCAGACAACTGCCGTGTATTGTACTTTGGCATTACTTATTGGTGGATGTGTGCTGTGCTATTTTGTGTATTTATGATACTCTTTTATGTTTCCTTTTTTTTATCTGACCAGGAGCAAAGGCAGAATATTAGGAGTTTAGGATAATTCTGGCTCATGTAAATATGTGGCTGACAACCTGAATTAGCCAGAAATACGTGGGTGACATCCTGAACTTATTGTATATTCAGCAAACCCTTCTGTGTCATTCATTTCCTTCTGTGGTAAGTCCTTCCAAAATCAGGAAGAACCCAGAGACCAACAGCTTGTTTGCTGATGTGGCCGCCACAGGCCTCAGGCAGGCACTGCTTCAACATAAGGAACCAATAGTTTCCTCCGGTCCGCCATGATGTCATGGCCACGAGGCAGCAAGGTGATGAGCTGAGAGTGATGGATATCTGTATAGGAACATTTCCTTTCCCCCGCCAGCCTCTGTTCACATTAAAAGCCTTGCACATCATACATCAATACTGTCCCCTTGGCCAGGCCCTACATCCCCGCACACGTCAAACCCACATGTGGAGGCACTTTCTTCCTCCACGTCTGCTGTAGTCTTCAGTTCATTGTCAGATTCAGAGACATCAGATAGTAAAGCTCTGTCACCTTTTTAGACATACCCCAGCATATGAACTAAGAGCTGGGTGGGACATCGCTGAAGGGAAGCTGAATTGAGAAGAAAGTGCAGTTTAACACCGCGTTTAATCTTTTCCATACACTCCAGCAGAGAGGGGCTTAAAGGCCGACAATAAATCTGTTGGTGAGTCTGTCTTGGAAATAATGAAGGATAATCATTTCTCGTCTCAACGGTGGGGAGAAAAGAGGGAGGGACGGGTGAGAGGGAAGACAGAGAAGGGAGATAATTGTCAGTGGACTTTTTCATGGCGTGCGTGTGATAGAGAGAGACAGAGTGGAGAGAGAGGGTGACGGTGTCAGCTGTTGCCTCCTGCTGTGTGAGGTAAAGGAGACAGTGGGTAGCATATGAGCATTTGAGGTGAAAGACATGATGATCATTTTTTTTTTCTTATGACTGACAGAATGTGTGCATAGAGTTTCCAATATGCCCGTGTGTGTGTGTATAAAAGAGATTTCACACACACTCAAAAACACACTGGGTTTTCTGTCTTTTCCCAGTGCACTCTCAGTGTAACAGATGAACATGCCTCGGCCTTGACAGGAATCAGGCTGAAATGATTTAGAATCACCTGGGCCCTTCGGCTTTGAAGTCAGACAGCTGCCTGTACTGTATTACAATGATATTATATAATTTATAATGATATAATTGATCATTATGTTTCCTGGCACTCAACGCTGAACCAGCATTGGTTCATAAATCAGATGATGAAAGGTTGGTGTAACAATGAAATCAAAGGGAGAGAAAGAAAAACAAAAATACAATGTCAGCATGCACTGTGAGACTTTACTTATCACACATGTCTCTTTAATAATTTCACAAATACTGTCACCTATATGGCTTTTGTAGTTAACTTAAATTAAACTAGCTGTAATTAGTATTACAGGAAAACAGAACTGAATGCACTCGAGCCAGCAACACGCCTCAAGCTGGCTTTAAATAATAAGCCGTGTTTTGATTTCTGTGGCCTGTACAGCCCATAAAATGTATTCAAACCATCCTCAGTCTTGCATGAATCCCACTCTGTCCCCCAAAGCCCTAAACCCAAAGAGTTAATAATTAACCATGACAATAATTACAGGGTCTCTTAACTTTCGACAGCATTTACAAAACAGAAAGCAAACTTTTTGTTCGGATCAGATTGGATGTACAGCTGCAGGCTGATATATGGCTGTGAACCCCCGGCCCTTCCAAACGCTCTAATTACAGTGTTGGGACTCGTTGCCAGCTGAGAAGAAACGCTTGGAAACATGGCCCACGACGAGTTGTTGGGCTGTATATCATGTGCCACGTCTCTCATGCGCATTTGTGTTGACTTTTCTTTTACTGCGTTTTGTTATGGGCTGCTGGCCAATCTATATAAAACAGGTAAGTTTTGAAAAAAACAGTACCATTTAAAACAAGGAGGAGAGAGAAGATAGAAGTTCTCCTGCTTTAAATAATGGCTGCCAAGGTGAACTCGTGGAACTTCAGACGTAGTTATACAGTAGAGGACACTTGAACCCTTTTTGGGGGGTTAGGGTAAAAGAAATGCAACCATTTCTGTTAAAATTACACTTACCTGCCACAGTTGGATACACATGACCATCCCCAGCTTTGCGTCTGGTACCAGCGTGCAGACTGGGGTCTTACTGGGTAGCTCAATAATCTTGATCTGCAGAAAACACATGACAATTAAGGGCTTGAAACTCATTACAGATAGCTGACCTGTTCACCTCCACCTTCTACAACCACGCTAGCGGCTTTGTGAGTCTGTACACAGTGACACAGCTTTGAGCTAAATGCTAACATCAGCATGCTAAAGTGCTGACAGTACAATGCTAACGATAATCAGGTTTGATGTTTATTGTGTTTGCCATCTTAGTTTAGTAGTGTGAGCGTGCGTGCTAATGTAGGCACCAGAATGCATAGAATTAAAAAAAATTGATTGATTTTGAACCTTTTGTTTTTTTGGTTTTGGAAATAATTTTGGCTGGATATTACGTCATAAACCAAAAGTATTGCAAAAGTGTAAATTTCGACCTGACGAAGGCGCCAAATGAAACCGTGATCCTGAGGGACGCGTGAACGTCTGTACCAAATGAATGACAATCAGCCGATAGTTGTAAAGAAATGTTTCTTAAAACCACAAATATGAATCACGGTGGCGCTAAAGGAAAAGTTTCACCCAAGTCAGTAGGTTTCGTCCTCTCAGACACAGCTGTTATAGAAAGTGGTGGACAGACTAAGAGACAGAACAACATTGCGATCCCTGTCGTACTAAAAAATGTTGTCAATGTGTTAAAATGCCTTGCCCAGATTCAATTTAGGTAACTTAGGTAACTCTCCGGCCGTTTCGTTTTTTAGGTTAACCTCAACTGTGATCATTTCTTTGCCTTCTCAGCGTCTAAGGCCGCTACTTAAAACCCTCAGCTCTTAACTTTTTTTTTTTTTTTTAGGAATATAGCAAATATGTAATGTATTTTGTTTTAATGAATCTGTTTTCATTACTTTTGCTTTAATGTTGTTTGCATTATTGATACCCAGTTACAAATTGCCATTGGACATAGATACGTCTACATGCTCTCTGCCAAGTCATGATTTGTTTGTTTTCAGAATTCAAATAACAAAGCAGCAACCTGAATCTGTCATTGTGGTTCAGGACCTCCGCAGATCAGAGTGCCTCTGACCAGCAGTACAGTACCATCCATCAGTGCAGAGCAGCCGCCTCACTGTCTATAATAAATCCTGCTAAAGCCCGACCCCGTGACATGAATGGTGTTTTCCTGCACACATTGGCACTGATTCTGATAAAATACACAGCTTAATGAAGCCATTGATAAAGTGTCTGCCTTTGTATGTGTGTACACACACACATATCACTACCAAAACTAATTTCTTCGACTTCCTCCGCACTGATGATCCACATATTCATCCTCATTAGGCCTCAGATTAAACAGCCCTTTAAGGGAGTGATCTGTATTTTAGCGCTAGGCCACATCTGTCCTGCATGTTTACCTCTGCTTGCCTGACAAAGACCTGTGAGGACTTCTCTGTGCCTCAGGTGATCACTGTTCCTGTGTGGCATCACACTGCCCATAAATAAAAGACCCACACTATTAATTACGGTTTCTGCCATGGCAGCAATCTGCTGGCAAGAACGTCATTGTCAGCAGTAAACAGTAAAACTATCTTAAATAGCTAACAGGAAAATGTAATTCTGTTCTCTTTGTAACATACCTAAATATTGACCTGCCTGAATACTGCCTATGGCACTAAATCTCGCCATTGTGCATTTTATGTGGTGTATTGTGTTCGTGTGGGAATTCATGTATGTGGGTGTTTTATAAGCGGATACATGATAAGCATTTGTCTTGGCTAGTTATGTCTGTGGAATGGGGTGGGGAGACCAAATGACAAAATCGGCTGTGGCCTGTTTTGGTCTACTTTCTATGGGTGTTTCTGTCTGTCGGTGTCTGTTGGGACAATGGCATTATTGAGGTGCTGGGAGTCACAGGCGCCCTGATGCCTGGCCTGCTGGACTGGGGTTAGCAGAGGCACGTTTGGCTGGATCAGGTGACTGCTCTGTCTCTTTCAAGTGTGGCTCCTCCACAGCGGAGCAAGTAACATGAATCTGGAGGCAATAAAAGATGGCTGGATCGCTGGCTGCCCTCTCCGCCATCCCGCCTCACTCCACACAAAACCCTACAGGCTTGTGTTGGGTGTTGAGCATTAAATTCGAGACACTCTGTGCAGACAGAACTGTGATTTCATTCCAGTGCTCAATCTCTTCAGTCCTGGGAATTCTCCTTTTAACCCACCAGTCAAAGATTTAAAAATGTGAACAGCTACTTTGACTATTTCATCAGCCAAAACAGCAATTTGATTTACTGAATGGCATGTTACAAGACAAAGCCAAAATGAACCGACATTCAGCTGGCGGCTGGTATTAGGTTCCGATCTTTGCAATGTGCATGATGATTAACCCTGAATGCTGGTTTGTTGATGATGCAGTTTAGATTCATGCTTGACAGTTCCAGGCTGCAAACTGCACGCTAACATGTCACGATGACTTACGACACATTCATTGACAATCGGCTAAAAATATTACCACCTCCACCTGAATTCCAGCCATTTCATTTTAATGACTCAGAAGACACGCAAACAATCACAGAGTGGTAATAGGAAAAAGTGATTGGGTTTTGATGCAAGAGAACGACTTGTGCTGTGGGTCTTCCAATTTTCCACTAACCTACTAAACAGTACTAAAAGCCACAAATATGTGTGAACGCTTAAAGTCAATCCAGCAAACTGGCAACAGCAAGTCTGGTCAGGTTCAAACAGGTTGGCATGTTTTATACAAAAGTCAGACTGTTTAACTAATTAACCATCCCACCTGCCAATACATGGATGTTTCCTCCTGCTAAACATAGAACAACACTGACAGTGGACACTTCATTTCCTATCTTCCTTTAAAATTAAAATAAAACCCCCTTCTTAAATGTTTAAAGGTTAACTAATTATAAAAGCATGAAAATTGAGCCACTTATACATATTATTGTAGAACTTTCAGTTTTATACTGGCTGTCTGATCAAAGTCTTTAACTTGACACTGCAGCATTTAGGCAAAAGTATGCATGTGAACTTTTTGATACAATTTAACAAATGACCACAAATACATACTGTCATTATTTTTATATATTATCCCAAGCCAAAATCTGAAATAAAATACTAAAATTTTGCAGCTTTGGTGAGTGTTTGGTGAGCTTACAAAGTGACATTCCCTGTAACCTAGAGCACATCCCAGCATGCACTGGGTCAGAGGCAGGGTACATAACGGATTGGTCGCAAATTTATAAATGGGCTAAAGCACACAGACGCCTGCACACTAACCTCTTCTGTCTGTTGTCCAGCAAAGGCCAGCAGAAACGTCCCAGGGCCCGTCTCCAGCAAGGAGCACTGACAGAATCCCACGCTGTCTGTCCACACAGAGTCCACCACCTCACTACGACCTTCACTCAGATCCCAGAGACAGACCCGCATGTCCCGTCCCTGACTGCGTCATCAACAAAAAGAACAAAACAAGACAAAAGCTGCAGTTATTTGCATATTTCAAAACACATGCTTACTATTAAATCATTTTATCCCCACAGGTTAATGTCATTGAAAAGCTCAGTTAATAAGAAAACCCTAAATTCTGTGGTCAAAAAATAATATTTTACTTTCCCAAACGCTCCACCAGAATGTAAGAGAAGACGTGTTGTAAAAAATATTAAAACAAACTGTCTTCCTCACCTGATCAGGGTATCGGTCGCCTGCAGTGTGTTGACCCAGAGGATCGAGCTACCAGAATGACCTTCTATGATCTTCTGAGCCCTCCTGGTGTTCAGGTTCCAGATATGGATCGCACCCTTCTCTGACCTGCAAAACCCAAGAGGGAGCTTTATAAATATAAATTGCTCATACTGTATATATAACATATCATTCCACATGGCTCTGCTCTTTCCTATGCCTATAAAAGAAGATTTTCTCTTGTCGTACTAACCAACACTGAAACAACACTAAAGCTTTTGTTGCATGGTGCTTTAACAGCCGGTCTTACACCTCCAAAGTCTACCTGTTTTAAAAACTAAAACGAATCCTAATTGGCTGACTTGGTATCTACTAATCCTGTCTGTGTGTCTCAACATAATCATTACAAAAAGAGGAAAAGATAAACAAAAAATATCTTCACTGTTTGAGGATGATGAAGAGTCAAAATATGAATGAGATAAAAGACTCACCCAGAAAACAGGAGGGGAGTGTCCCCTCCATGGCAGCTAAAGTGGAGGGTGTTGAGGGACCCACCAGCCCCCCTCAGGGTGTAGATTGGGGTCGGAGCAGGACGAGACATCCCTGGATCATGCAATCAATGTATGGACGCAAGAAGGCCACAAACCCATGTAATGCCTAGCTGAAACAGACTAAAAGAAAAGAGAGCCAAGTAACTAGCAGTTATTTCTGTGACTGATCTGAAGAACTGGAAAAGACGCAGTTGGAGCCAAAAAAAACGACACTGTGCCGTTTCAGCAGAAAAGATAAATGTTCCATTACAATCAGGTTAATTGGACTCTTTTGAAAGAATACAATAAGATGAAAGTTAAGTGTAGGCCTGAACTCCAAAGTCATCAGAAACCTAGTCATCTCATTTTGTTTTTGCACAAACACTGAGCAAAGACAGAAAGTAGCTCCATTTTGCCTTGAAGCCTTTCTCTCCCAAACAGCAGACAGTTACGTTTAATGCACTGTCTGTACTTTCTCTATTGTTAGTAGCTACAAACCCCGTGGCTCTCTGTCTTCCTCCTTCTAGTCTACATGATAACACCTTTCTTACTCAATACGTCATAAATCACAACCCCTGACAGCTTAATTACAGTAAACAGACGGAGATTCAGGCTTCTCACTCCTCATGTGATCAACAGCCGTTGTCCCAGAGGCAGAGGTAACAGCTCAGGCTTTTATGTCGTTTGTAGGCCGGGCAGTCGAGGAAACCCAACCGACCGCAGGTATGCTGCAAGGAAATGATGCGTCAATGTTAAATTGCATCGAACGGCTTCAGTAGCTAAGACGCAGCTATCCAACTATTTTCTAAAGTGCTCGTCATGTTTACATTCACAGGTGGCTCGAACCCACTTATGCCAATATTCAGTGTATTTAAATTGGACCATTTTTAAACCCCCCCACACTGTGAATTCAGCAGGACGCATCCCTTCTTCTCAGCGTTATGGAACTCAATGGACAAACAATGACTTCAGAAACAACCACTCACTCAAATATAAATGAACAATTAACCTAGTAATTTAAATAAAAGGGCTTGCAGGTTTTACTGGCTGCCACCCCCAAGGCTGTTAAGTAAATTCCTCCCTCACCACATCATTTTTCTACCTGGTTATCTGCAATAACATGTTCACGAACACCAACTACCCGAAAACAAACCTAAATATGACTTTTAGAAAAGGAACAAAATTAGCCTCTCTCACAATCCTAGAAGTTTTAGAACTAAAGTAGCACACAAGAATAAACTCAAGCTGGCTCGTACAGATTGAAAAAACTAGTCATAATGTGTTTATTATTGAGCTTCCATCTGGTTTCCCCGTTTTCAGTCTTTATGCTAAGCTAAGCTGTCTCCTGACTCAAGCTCTCAGATATAAGAGTGCTATCATCTAGCCAGCAAGAAAACGAGCAAGTGTTTCCCAAAATGTTAAACTATTCTAGCACAAAATGGGTAACTATATGTTTGAGGTCATCCGAGTTAATGAGCTCACCCTCTCCTCCACTTTTACTTATCATAACCCTTGCTCCGCTCAATCAGTAGATGCTGAAACTGGAGCCTGAGGCATTCAGGAGCAACTCATTTCAGGAGGTTAGTGGTTAAATTGTCCATGTGAATCTGTGAAGCGGAAAGACAGGGACCCCTGACCAGCCTGCCTACTTAAGGACACAACACTGCAGTCTGATGAACTCACAAGGGAACAGTCAACCCATCAGCTTTACTATCCATTTACCACTATAGGAAGACACATTGCATGCCTGCAAAATGGAGCATTTGCTTCAATGCTCAGTATAGAAAAGACTAACTTGAAAATGTAACATGACAGAAATAAACATTTGGTTTTTATTTGGAGTGGTCAAAAGCATATTGCTGCTTGCATAAGATATTGACTATCAGGTATCACTCATATCTCTGAACCAAAGCAACAGAAAACGGCTTGGTCAACAACTGCACAAACTTGTTTTTGTGTGGTATGAAGAAAATGCCAAAAACTGTCAACAGTGTTTTTGTAAGGGTCTATCAGTAAAGCCGTTTCTCCTGAAAGTGGGTGCGTAAGGATGCATTCCAGTGCCAGAGTCCTGTGCCTGTGTGTCACAGGGTGAGGCTCACCCTGATAACAGGTGGATTAAACATCCCTTATCGTCGTCCTGCAGTAGCCCTGCATGCCGCGGTGAGTCACGGACAAAGCAGTCTGAAACTGGACGTTTTCATTGTCTCAAGACCGTGGGGCTGTAAGACTTTCCACTGGCAATCACAGCTCACTGCCAATCACAGATAACAGCTGGGGACAGTGATGGAGCTGTCACTCGGGGACTGCAAAACCAAACTTATTTCCAAAAGTTGACTATAATGGGCACTTTCCCCCGTCACTCTTTCGTTCCCCCGTCACCGTTCCTCCTGTTTTCCAGGCGTCAGCATTTCCAGTGGCTGAATTCACCTCAACAATAGGTCTGTTGTGGTGGCTGCAAGTGAGTCACCCACAAACCCAAATACAAACATGCAGGCAGCTCAGGAAGGGAGAGAGGGACACTGTAAACAAACAAAGACGGTGGCAGGGTGTCAATCAAATCTGTTTGCAAGGACGCTCAAATTGTTCCTTGCCAACAGAGAGAGGCAGCCGAGCAAACAATCAAGCCGGTCACTCGTCAAGCTTGTATGTTTGACACCAAAAAACATCTTATAGTCAATGTTAAGATGCCTTGATGGAGGAGTGGCAATATGTAGCTGGGGGCAGATGTGATCTTATGGTCAAAGATTCTCTGCACCAAGCGGTTTTAATGAACCTAAGAAGCTTTCATAAAGCGATTGAGCAATAGATAACAAATGCCCAATAGGTCAGTGAACTTTCTTATTAAAAATGTCCACAGGAAAAATCTCAGAAATTACAGATCGGGGTAACAAGCTCGGCCTAATGAAACTTGTGTGTTGTGGACAGGGTATAATAAATCAGACTGACTGATTAATATACCTGAGCTGGATGTGGGAGCCAGTGAGAAGAGGTAGGAGAGGAGGATTGAGGCTCCTGCTGGCCCTGTAACAGATAAGACAGCTCTGGAGTAATCTGACTCTAAGTCTGTGGATAAAGGCAGTTTGTCTCTTCTTGGGCCGTCTGTCCACACCTACTGGGTAATTAGGCCTAATTATGAGAGAAAGGTCCGCTTCCCCTTCATGTTATTAAATAAGAGCCAGCCTCGTCCGCCAAGCATCTCTCACCACCAGCAAGGGGCTGGCGACCTTCAGATCAAACGCAGCCACTATCTGTGCCCCCCCCCTCCCGCCGACTGCAGCACCCGTTCCCCTCCTCAGCATCACTGCACATATGAGTGCTTGAGGGAGGGAGGGGACAGAGAGGGTATTCGGTATGATATGGGGCATCAAAGTTTTTTTGAGTAGAGGTGAGGGGGGAGTCCTGTCCGCATTCCTCGCTTGGCTCTTTAGTGCTGGTATCATGTGATCGGCAGCTACCCGCCTGAGCTGCCCCCTTGTCAAATTCTGCCATTCATAAATAGGAGCAGGGAGGGAGCGAGGGAGGGAAATACTGATCACAGAGGTTTATTATAGAAGCTTTATAATGCCCCAGCTTCACAGGAGCCATTATGGAGGCATGGGATCCCAAGATCCCCGTCTGATATCGGCCTCGTCAAATATGAGATCTGAGCTGCATGATGAAAACTGAAAGTAGATTACACATAACTCAAAAGCTGCATTCTAGATAGGCCTTCCAATGAAAAGCCAACTTCATAACATTTCATACCATTTATTCTCCTTTCTTTTCTCTGTAAGATCTTTGCCAACTTTGTCAAAAAAAGATCCCAAATCCGCACATTGCTGCTACTTCATACCTCAGCTATGTCATTCTGCTGTTTATCACCGGCTATAGCTTTATCTGCTGTTTTCCTGCTTTTCCCCGTCTCGCCAAGGGGGCACTTCCACCTCACAGGCTGGTCAGTGGGTGGTGAGCTGGCTCTTGGACTATTAGTCGGCTCTCCTGCGCTGACCCTCCCCCAACTAATACAGATCCTTCTGGGGAGGAAACCAATGCGCCAAATTGAGAGCGAGGTCTATTATAAAAGTCCAGTTAGACAAACAACATGGGAAGTGGCAAGGAAGACACACGCCCTTTATTGTGTCTTGGTGGGGGTTATCTGGACTGGATAAACAGCCCAGTGTCAGATAGAGGCTGAAGTCAGACACAAGTGCACCAACACCCACTGTCAGTCACAGATCCAATGAGTGGGAAGAGGTGGCATTGTTCACGTGAATGGCGTGAATGCTAAGCAGGGGCCATTGCAGATAAGAGCTAAATGCCTTGTGGGTGTCATTGAGGCAGGCACTGATTGAGCACTGTGTCAGAGGGTCCTGTTTTAGGAGGTGCTGACTGTGGTCAACAGGTACCAGGAGCCTTATCTGTTTGCATTATCACCCATTTCCTCCATGAGGTCATTTACCTGCACACTAGAGGATAAACGGACACAAGAGAGTCGACAGCTCAAGTGTCATCATACATCTCCACACGTTATGGGTGTGATGGGCTTCGGATCTACAGGGATTTCTGCTGTCCATACAGCAAAGATATGATAACAACAAAATGTTTATGGTGCCATAATCCCAATAAGACACCATACAACAGGGGATAATAAGCACAGAAAACAACAAGATGTTACACTTCGTCAAACAGCACATCCCCTTGTGAGGTAACTGTCAGTCATCTTCAGGGGTGTGATGAGTGACTGCATGAACACTAAGTAATGAACGATGAAAAGTTTGAGTACTAACTATTTGTACTTGTTCAAACAGCTTCCAGAGTTCAGCCTGAACTCTCCTACCAAATTAAAAAAGCTCCTATAAAGGGGCAAAGTGAACAAATCAAAATCTAGCACAACTCTTAAGTTGTGCACTTGCGCATTACTATGGGAGATACTGTGAGATGGGGAGCCCCGTGATCAATTTCACAACTAAAAAGCTCTCTCATACAGTGTATACCCCTATCAAATCTGCCCAAACCTTTAAATTAGCTAATTTAATATAATAGCTAACATAATATAAATTATCATAAAAGATAATAGGAAAGATCTGCATTTGGACTCGTGGTCAACCCCAGGGCCGCGCAATACGGCCAAGCATTTTATCACAATAAAAAAAATCACATCATTCGATATCGATAGTTTTCACTATAAATGTCAGATCATTATTACTTTCAAGTTTAAAGGCAGATTTTTGCTCCTGACTGACAGTTGAGAACCAGATGGTTAATTGTTGTTTTAAACTATTCTTTATGGTCAGAACATGACAAACATGTGCCAAACAGTGGATACTGAAGCTGAGGTAGAACATTAAGAACAGTTAGAAAATCAATAAATATGCATGAGTAAATTCAGTAAAATCTTTTTTCAGTCCATTGTCCTCAAAAAAAGAAATCTCTCAATAGGAAAAATAAGTGCTAATTAATTCTAATAAATTAAATGCAACATTTATTGAACATTTGTTATATTGTTATTGAGGAAAAATATATCACAATAATTAACTTTATTTATCGGTTTACTAGGGCTAATAAACCGAAATGGGTTTTTCAATGGCCAATGATGATATTTAGAGAGCAGGGCGGCCAATGGCCAATTTATAATGCAGATATCAAAACAAAGAAAAGTCATGTATAATTCAATTATTCCATGCAGAGTACAATCTAATATAGACGTTATCATCATCAGTAACGTGCTGTTTTAGATGGAAGCTTTATTAATGAATTAAACAGAAATATACATTGGGAACGTGACTGGTATTTGGAGAGAGAGGTACAGTTTGTCAGAAGTGACGTCATTCAGCTGCATTATTCTCTACAGTATCAGAATATATATTTAACACTAGCCAGTATTTAGTGTTAGATTAGATCTGCTGTCATTTAGGATAATAAGCTATATAGGCCTCCTGACTGCAGGTATTGGCCAATGCTGATTATCGCAAAATGCCAGATATCGGCCGATTGATTAATCGGTCTGCCACTAATTTGTAATTAGATAAGCTTAAAAATACACTTGACACACAACCGTGGCAAACACGTGCCAGCCTTCTTCATTAAAAGTCAGTGCAGAAATTCAAAAGAAAATAGTTTTTTTTTTTAAAGCTTCATCTAATATTAAGAAAGCCATTAAATATATTTTGTATCTGCTCTGAGTTGTCCCACACAACTCATTCTTCCAAAATTAAGTTGCCTCACAGCTAGTTTCACCTTCCGAGACATTTCATGAGCTTTTGCTGTTGCTTTGGTAATTGGCAGACAAATGCATCTTTGGTAATTGCGAGAGCCAACAAATAGACCTGTTCCACCAGCTCAACTTCCATGATAGCACACTGTTATGTAACTGGTATTGTTTCACAGCTCTTGTTTTGTTCATACTTTACTGTCTGTTAATTATATAGTAACGTTACTTCCATTATCTGTTTCTGTATAGCTTTTACTCTTAAGTAAGAGTCATAAAGTTATGAGAAGATCAATTGTATGTACATTGCTGACAGCAAACATGAAACGGGGCTTCAAACGGATCAAATCGGGACAAGAGTATAAACGAGAAGCGTTGCTGAGAATTGTGAATGAGCAAGAAAGCTTGTCGTTAAATCGCAGCAATTTTGAATGGAGTTTGGCACGCGCGTGTCTCCATGCGACTCAACCGGCTGAGTTACACTCACAGCGGTCTTCATTAGTTACCTATTCGGAAACTAAAGCATTAACTGAGCTGTTGGGCTAAAAACGAGAAAAAGTAAGACTACAACTTATATACATATAAACACTTAGGCTGTCACATACTGTTATTTACAGGAGTTAGCAACAAGCTAGCAACTGCCTACAAAAACAGCTGCACACATCCCATATACTTCGTTATTGCATGACAGGCATTATCGCTGCGTAAAGTAATGTCACTACAGTAAAAACGAAGCTAACAAAACTTTACAAAATACCATTTCAGTGAGACACCGGTGTTTGACAGTTGTCAGCCAGCTTTACGAGGAGGGGAAACAAAACATGCGCCGCACATGAAGGACCTCTATTTACAGCAGATGAGCTGCCCATGAAAGTGCCTGTATAGAAGAGTCAACTCTCTCACACTCTCTGCTCAGCCTGTAGTTTCCCTCTGGTATCTCCACTGCTATGACTGCCTGCCTGTACGTGTGTTTACTACTTTCAAATTACAGGATATGTGCATCAGGATATTTCTATTATGATGTGTCTACCGGTATTTGCAAAGATATGTATGTAGCCTATAAAAAATATTATGAATGTATTGAATAGATTAAAAAATAAATAGGTAGGTGTATGTTGGATAAATAAAGAGCAGCGTAGCACTCTGATATAATGTATTAAAATCTGATTATGATGGCTGTTGTTAGATTGTGAGTTAAAATGCCCATTTTCTTTTAAATAGAAAAGAAACAAAAGAGAAGAACTCACTAAACTTTGAAAATCTCTCAGATATAGTATATTCTCTTTTTTAAATTCCTACTACCTCTATAATGGGCTTCTATAAAGTCTTAGTAGCTACAAAACCATCAGAACTGAGCGATAACTTGCAAAGCCATACAATACTGCACAAACAGGACAGTCTCTCTCTTTTTTCATCCTTTCAGTCTAATGGAGAAAGAGAGACAGAGAAAACACAGGGCCCTAATCCACAGAGCACACTGGCCCCTTTCATGGCAGTGCTGGGAGAGACCTTTATTTGTCCATTCCTATCATGGAGAAAGCGGGTTTCAAGCTCGGCTAGGTCTGAGCTGGAAGATTAGATGAAACCAGAGTGTTTTAAACCTCTTCTGCAGCCATGGATTAGAGTCAGCCAGTCCCCCGGCACTCTGAAATGAAACAATAAGGAGTACGGGCGGAAGGTGCATGGCATGTAGGTAGGTTAGAAACCTAAATCTATTTGTCCAAGAAACAAAAAAGCCACATAGATTAAGGAGAGCACTAAGTTATTTTTAAAAAGCAGGGAGGGAAAATACCTAAAAGTTAATTTATTTGGGCCTAAATGATAATATTTCAGCCAAAGCAGCCTTAGTCACCCCAGTCATAGTATTTGGTGCAGCAAATGCTTATTAATGTACATGTGAAACCTCTTAAATTACATTCTCATCTTCTAGACATACTGTACTCAAATTATACGATATGAGACATACAATGTTTTGGTTTGGAGTGTATCTAATTCCCTAATGAGCCCGATGAAATACATAGAGACTTAATGACATACAAGGAAAGGCGTAGAGCAGCAGTGAGTTTAAACCAATTAGTGCAAATGGAGGTGGCAGTACGGTAACCCCTCAGCAGGAGGTGGGAGAAAGTGTCTGCTGCCGTGCCTGGACAGATACCATGGCCTACATCCTCATCAATTATTCCTGGCATCTCATTTTACCCAGGGCCAGGGAGGGTGTACGGGACAATGCCAGAGTGCACTTGAGAGCTAGAGCCTTGGTCTCCCCATGGGTCCGAGGAGGAGGAGGAGGAGATGGGTGGGGGTCTGTGACAGGATTGGGGTGTGTGTATACAGTATCGTCCTTCCAACCCAAGAGGCTGCCTGGTAAGGAAATCCCTGGAATTCCACTCTCGCTCCAGCCGCCCGGTCGTGGGGGCACGCAGGTCACTTTACAGCTCATCACCAAATTAGAAAGGCTGTGGGTCAGCCTCAGCAGCAGCCAGACCACAGAGAGATGGAAATAGATTGGAGTGCTACGATGCAGTGTGGTGGCGCTCATTCACCAGGCTGCTCTCTCATCATTGAGAGGTAAAGGACTGCGCTGTATGCCGTGGAGGGCAAAACGTCAGGAAGGAACACTAGACAGTGCTTTTCAGTGCCTTGAGACAGACCATAAAGTAATGAATACATAGTGTAGACACAGAGGGAGACCGATGAGAATGAGGAATTTTGTGGTTTGAAACAACATAAGATATACACACCAAAATACAACGAAACAGAGAATGCAATACTTTTCTATTGGGTTTTTAAATGTGAAACTATTACATACACAACATAAAAATAAAGCCAACAATAAAGAGTAAACTATAGTCAATATTAAACAGTGTACGTTGGAACTTTATTCAAGCAAAAGTGAAAATTCAATTATGTTTTTATACATGCAACATGGATATATATTGACTTGACTCATGAATATATTTAAAGCAGTTTGTAGAATGACCAGAAGGATCTGTTCCTTATATTTCCATGTTATCTTGATAATTTTCATTAAGACTGATGATTTTCAAACTTTTGTTGAAGCTAACATAAAATGCCAACTCACTTCCAGTTTACTGCAAACTAAATGAAATTACACTACAGCAGCAAGCCAAGAGTCTTTTTGATGTGTTGTTTTAATTATTTTTATTGAACTATCATAGGTGAACAAGACAATACAGACACAGATGGAAGTCAGCTAAAGGAAATTTTACCGTTAATCAAGTTCAATGCGAGTAAACAAATGACTTTAGCTGCTTTGGTTTCACGGTCCTGGTTTTGTGCATGCCGACTCACTGTGACGGCTTAATGGGACACTTGAATAGAACAGAGCCATCGTTAATGTTATTAGCATCGCTGTGACTAAATGTCTGCTGTGAATAAAGCCCATTAACTTTTTTGTTGTACCTATTGTCCTCAACCTGCTTTACCAACTCAACAACATCAGTAAGTCTTTTCCCGCAATTGCTAGAATCAACTCTGAATATAAACAAGGATTTCAGTTATTATTCTGCGTGACAGAAGTTATACGAATGTGTTAAAAGTGTATAAATTTGTATTTCTAAATGTTTGTGCAAAATAACAGTTGCATAAGCATTGTCTTTGGGGACTGACAGCAAAAATAAATAGTTTCTTCTGGCAAAATAAAGTGAAAACAGGGTGTGATGTCTAGTTTTAAATGTTATCCATTAGAATAAGAAAAAAAAAACACCACCATTCAACGTAAAAGGATGGTTTATCCTTTCAAGGTCACCTCATGTATGGCACTACCAGACACAAGAATGAACGTGTATATGCAACTTTATGTCTCCCTGAATTCTCCATGTGTCAGTGGACGAGTATGCATTAAGTTATCAGAACAGAAGGAGAAGATACTGTCTATGGGAGTACGTGTTAAATGTGCAGGTATCATGAAATGTGACGGTGAGGCATCCCCGGCTCGTGTTTTCCTTAGGCATCTTTGCAGGTGTGAATGGAGCGATCTCAGGGAGGGCGAGGAGTGACTGGCCTGCCTGTCACTTTGAGAACAAAACACAACTTTAATAAATCAGTACGTAGTGGAAAGGAGAAAGCAGATGCACAGGCACTATCAGCACCATTGAACCATCCTCCCTTGGAATAGTGAAGAAGGGGAGGCACCCAGTGTCTAAAGTTAATATTCTTATCAGTCCTTTTTGAAACTCCTCTTTAATGATGAAGCTGTTTCTCATGGTCATGTCCGTTGGGAGCAGCTGGCAAGAAAAGTTATTATCTCTGACCCCTATTATTGCACTCAGGAGTAAGCATTTTTAAAAGTTTATTCTAGTCAGCGATTTTATACATGTAATGCACGTACAGATAAATGTGATGACCATTCCAAGTGCTTGTTTGGTTATTTGCATATACAGTCTAAAATAGGTTAATGAAGATTGTTGAATTTGACTCAACTTTGGTTAATGGCACAGAGGTACAGTTTTAAAGGCTTTCTATAGACAGTTGCTGTCACACTGATGTATACATTTTCATTATATTTAAAAGCAGTAGTAGTCACATTTCATTGCATTGCCTGACAAGAAATATGTGTATAAAATATTCCTTTCCATTTTACGTTTTTGGTGCAAAAATGTTTCCCTGGTTCCACTTGCAGAAAAAAATTAGGAGTAAGAAGCAGTTTGACTTTTGGGGAAATCCACTTCAGTTAATTTTCTTGCTGAGAGTTAGATGAGAATATCGATACTACTCTCATGTCTGTGCTTCACATCATTCAGAGACCCTAATTAGTAGCAGATGAGTAAAAAACGTTCATATCTGCCTCCCCCAACTGGTGAGATGAGCTACGTAGAAGTGTCAAAATTATTGCAAAACGCCCGCAAAGCCACCATCACTGCCTGTGATTCGCTTAAAAGATTTTTGGCATTGAAGTTATTACTTATTTTTTACAGAAAAGGTTTGATACATGGCAACAAGTACATATTCATAAATCAGTTAAGCTCAGGACATCTTTGTACCATTGGTACGTTATGTCTCACACAGTAATGACTACTCTTCATGTTGCTGCTGTTACTTTTGTCAGACAAACAGTCAGGCCAAAGGTTACTTTGTGAAAGCTAATTACTGAGCTGGTTATATATACACTGGGCTCTGTGTGTATGTGTGTGTGTGTGTGCGCGTATGATAGTTTGGCTATGACAGTGGCCCTCCTGTTATAGAACCATCTGAAAATGTTGATTTTGCTTTGGAAAGATAGAGCTGAGGTACAGCTCTCATCAGCTTTAATTTTGGGGAACATTCATGTTTACTGAACTCAAGCTTAGAGTACACCCTCAACATGCCATCCAAACATGCAGTATGAGTGGACATTCAGATACAGGCCGTACACAAGAGAGCTCATGTTGCAGACACACCCACGCATTCACATTCCCACCTGCCCCCCAACACAAACCACCTCATACACACACACCCCTGTACACACTCAAACACACATAAAACATACCACGCAAGCCATCTCTCATTAAAACACAAACAGGCATAATTGTGAGCTCCAGAACCAAAGCAAGCAGATGCATACTGCATGCACAATGTGTGTGTATATGAGCTGTTCACAAGCCACTGATGCCACCACATAGAGCTTTTTTTAATGGATAAACAAGAAAGACAGAATCAATCAGAGAGGCATCAACAGCAGCCGGAGAGCAAACCCAGCATGCAGTCCATCTGCATCACATAACAAGACGGTCTCTCCACCTCAGCCTGTATGTGTGTATTCTTACTCTGTGCATTCGTACTCTGTTTATGGACAGGGCCGTGGGCAGGAATTGCAATCTATGCCAGTTACATGCTCAGCTCAGGCCCAGGCACTACTTTATATCTCCAGCCAGGTGTTCTGGCTGCAGAATGGGAAGCCATCACGGCACTGGGAGGTACTTTGATTTATGTGATGTGACTCAGACTGATAACACCACAGCCCCAGAGCAGACACACTCAGGAGGAAACTGTCAAGTCGGTGTTTACTCTGTTTTGCTAGTGTTGGGGAAAACCTTTAGGAAATGCAATGAAGTAGTTTGTTATTTTATGTGCAGAGGGTTGTTAAGTTAATTAACGCTAACTTGGTCAATCTCGGGTGTTGAATGGTAAAGTGCATGCCTTCAAATTCAGCCATTAAAGTCTGATATTTGATAAATACCAGAAAGTAGCTACAATCATAACTCACCTGAGCTTCTGAAAGTGTTTAATCTGTCAGATCTTCTACTGAAAGCCAGGAATAATGTGGAAGCCAGAAACATTAGAATAATTTTCTGAGTAATTTGACATAGATAACCGCTGTAGCTCTGTTCAAATCATGGATGAATATGTAAAAAAACACATTATTTGCCACATCTTTGTCAATCCTAAAAAGTATTTGCATGCTATTCCCACAGTCCACATGCATGATTCCACATGTAACCTACTAAAGTATAATGCTGCTTTAGGCTATACAAAATAAATATAACAGACACCCAGAAATACCTAAATCAACAAGTCTGAGATTCTACAACCTAGCAGCTCTGTGAGGCTGTACTGGTGTACAGTGGTGCAATGAACTACATGCTAACATGCTCACAAAGACAATGCAAACATGCAGATGTTAGTAGGTGTTAACTGTGTTAATCGCCTTAGTTTAGTGTGTTCGCATGTTAAAACGCGCTCTAAACACCAAGTACAGTGGAGGCCGTTGGGAATGTCAAGTATTTTAATAAGTATAATAAGGGATAAATAAAAAATAAGACTTAATGATTGTGCCAGATGAAAAGCTAAGGGCTCACCAAAGTTACTCATTAATACTGAAGAATAAATGAACGTGTGTACAAACTTTCAGTCTATCCAATATCTGTGGAAGTATTTCACTAAAAACCACAATTGTGGACCTCATGGTTGCGCATAAAGGAAAAGTCAGATGATCAACAAAGTCGGGGATCTCCAGGGATAATAAATGTCTGTAATCCAATCAATCCAATTGTCATGTTTTAGTCTGGACTAACTGACAACCAACCAATTGACGTTGCCAATCATACCGCTGCAGTGTGGAGGCTGTTTTTTCACTTGAACAAACTAAACAGAAGAAATCACACTGAACTTTGGTTCCTCATTTCACTGCTAATAGTATATAATATTATTACCTGTAAGAGGCATTATGAATCAGTTCTTAAACCTGACTTGACTTAATCTGATCACAGCAGCTTTAGGTTGGCTTTATGAAACAGCTTATGGCTTTACACTGTTTCATTCCAGCGCTGCATTGCTTTGTAGTTGTGTACATTGTACAACTACAAAGTGATGTACTGAACTACTGTGGAATTAATTAAGCAATTCATCTACACGTTGTCTGATTTTATGATAACTATTGTAGCTGATCAAACATACAATGATTAAGAGGTTGTTAGAGGTGCAACAGCCTAACTCCTGCAAGTGCCAGACATGTCTTGTTTAGATCGAAACATCAGAGTGTGTTGTGTTGCTTTTGCATGCAGATTGCTATTGTCCCGATCGGTGTGGTTTGGCATGCATTCGCACACAAACACTGTCCCTTTGTTGTATGCAGTCATCAGACATTAGCTCAATAAATCTCTGTGCAGCTTTCAGATGTAATAAGACAACGTCCTGTGTGGGAAAAGACCTGCCTACATGATTTAGGAGCTGAGGTTGCTGATCGTAATTGCTCTCTTAGTGACATCTGGGGATCTGAACCACAAACTATGACACTGTAGCACATCCTTTTTACTGCTGCTTTACTGTATTCTACGTAAGGCTGTGGTCGGCTGCGCTGGTAGAGATTGGCCGAACCTAACGGCAATGCTACATCTAGCTCCTTTTCAAACACACGCATCTCTTCAGATAAGGGCCATGGCTGTAGCAGCCATGCGTATTGAATTTAAACCATTCCTAAGGGTATCCTGTTCTTATCAAGGGTCAGATAAGCTCATTTCACAGGCCCTCACCTCTGCTGGGCTTCCAACAGGACCCCACTCTGACAAGCGCTGACCTCATCGACTTTTTCTTATTGTTTGCGGTGGAATGAGAAGTCAAGAAGGGAGGTAACTTGTTCACTGATCTTTCTAGAAGCTACAGTTGTTGCAAAATCAAACATGTAGTCTTTAGACTTTTGAAACAAACAAGACAACCTTGACATTCCTTAGGGGGAGTACTCAGACTGCAGACTGTCGCAATCCAGCGTTGAGATTAAAATATGTCTTTGAACTGAGAAGTCCCCACAGAAGACAGTGGTAAATGTGTACGCAAACGACAGGAAAAGCATACAACCTCATCCACAACACCCTTGTCCAAGTGGTTCTTCTTATGAGCCTACTATTAGGCTTAGTATATGGTTTCAGTGGGTTCTTGGAGCTAATTGTCTTGAACTTGGGAGGCCAGATGAGCGAGAAAGCAACAAAATCTCGTTTGGGAACTCACCTTGGCTTACCAGTCTGCGGGGCCCTTTTTCTACATGAAGCCTTCTTAGGAACCCCCCCCACAAGCCACCGCACCCTGTCCAGGCCCTGCAGGCATCTCAGGCTGACAGCTCTTGAGCCAGATACTGGCAGTACAACACAACAGTCATAATTGGCCCCTATTCATTTCTCAGGGATAATCCTCACCTAGGTTGAGCCTTTTCTGTTCCTAGCGTCATTTTTCTGCGAATGTTTACACAAGGCATATATCGGTTTCTTCTCCTCCTGAGGCTTTTTGCTCCGGCTGTTGGGCTGCATGTGTGTTTTAGCGTGTGTCTGAGGGTTCTGCTCTTCCAGCGTGGCTGCCAGGGCTCAAGACCTGAAGTGACAAAGGCTTTGTGAATGTCTGACTCACAGACAACTGTCAGCATTCAATGGGCTGGATTAAGACGGCGCATAGAACCGAGCACACCCTGACATGTTGACATGTTCTACTAAGTGCATTTCAAGGTGGATTTAGCTTGTTTGCTCCATTGTGGAGCGACAGAGGAGACACAATTGCTAAATGGGACTGGCTATTCTTGAGATGGCGGGTGAACTCTACTCCGCTGTCTGGTTTAGGATTGACACTGGCTTCATTCTCGAGGTGAGTGGGGCTGCTGTGAATCCTGAGGAGGTTCAGGGGTTTCAGAGAGCTCTGTCCTTAACCAAACAAACACAGTGGAATTTCTGCCATTGTTGGTGCAGAAGGTTGAGTGACAGGGCTGCATAGCAGAGCTGCCTGTCAGCAGAAACAACTCCAGGTCAAAGTGTGACCACCCCTTGTGACACTGCTTAATATTAAGACTGAGCCATATTTTAAGATTAACCTGTACAGATCCACAGGGGCGCACATATACATCGACCCTGTCAGGCAGATAATAATGCTGCGAAAATGTAATATATTCGTTGTGGATTTTTTTAAAAGGAATTTTTCAACATTTTAAAAATTACTTATTTGTTTTTTTTCTGCCAAAAGCTAAGAGAAGACTGATGCCACTCGCATATATTATAAATATCAATCTAACGGCAGCTGCCAGTTAGCAGAGTTTAGAACAAACACATACACACAAGGTAACAAAATTCACATAGCCTTTGAACAAAGCCAGGCAAGCGATTTCCCCGTTTGTAATCTTCATGCTAAACTAAGCTAACCGGCTGTAGTTTCAAATTTAGCATACAAACGTAAGAGTAATATTGATTTTCTTATCTTATTCCGGGCAAGAAAGGAAAATACTCCAAAGAAATAATTCCAAAAAAAATGTAAACTATTCTTTTATGTACTTTATACATTTTTTGTGTTACATTTCAGGTTTATTTTCTTTCTGAAACACAACTATCGGTTTCATTTCCAGTAAATATACATATTGTTTTTACAGAATGAACACAGCCTACTGAAAAGGAACCCTTTACACATGCTTATGTGAACGTGCGCACTTCCCTGTACATAAATACACAATAGTGTGCAAGTGGCCCTTTCAGTCATTTATGTAGAACACAGGATACTCCGTCAGTGGGCATCATTACTTTAATGTTGACACCGACACATTCCAATACATTATTACTTTACATATAAATTATGGATAACAAAGTTTTAATGGAAAACTACACTTCTCTATTTACAATTACTAAAGTTGGTGGCCAGGTGACATCAGGCCTGCACTCCCCAGCTTTGGGTTTTAGTGCAGGTCATCATTAGCTGGCCGCCCTGAAAGTTGAACCCTGACCTCCCTGTGGGGCACAGCTGAGGCGAACTGGTCAAGTATTGGGCCTGGAGTGCCTGATCGACAATAATGAACAGATATGATTCACATTAAGACAGATTTGCGAAAAACAATTAAATACTGATTCCATTCTGTGCACGTGAGCAGCCAAACTGTGCATAAGGCATTAGAGCGGATGAGAAAAAGAAGAGGGGAAGTAGAGGGTAAAAAGCAAACAGACATTACGGTTACACTGATGGCCTCAATAACTTCCCTCGCGTTGCCTTGGGCACACCCTGGGGTCTCTGAAGTGGCTCGTTAAGCACAGGAACATAGACTCAGTTGCACTGGGCAAACACACCGCTCCTGCTCGGTGTTGTGTTGGTTGGCTGGGCTGTTGGCTCTGTCCGTTCCCTGGCCATCCTGTACCCCCTCCACCCCGAGTCCCCCCAGGCCCCTGCCGTGCAGCGCTGCAGCATGTGAGCCCTCTGTGCTCCGAGTGATAGAGTCAAGCTGTTCCTGCTGAGCGGAGGTCAGGGTCCTTCAGTCAGCACCTCAGCCCTGAACAGAGCACACAGGAATCCCCCTTTCCTCCTTAACTAGGGCTGAAACTCAGGTCGCTCTCTCTCCTCTGGCCCAGGTCCAAATAAACTTGGTACCTCTCTCTCTCGCTCTCTCTTTTTCCTCTCTCCTTCTCCTGCCACACTGTCACTCCCCTCATCGAAATCATTAATCAGACTGGGCCGATTAGACTTCAAATAAAAATAAACTACTCCCAGCAGCCTCCTCTTAGGTGCCCTGATTTCTGTAGCAACCCACTTCATTGACAGCCCTCCTCCTCCTCCTCCTCTTCTTCCTAATAAACCCAACATGTCCAGTAAAGCCAGCAGGTTGAACATTTGAGCACAAACTGTGGAGGTCTATTACTGCTTTATTGATATAAACAACTTTCCTTATCTTCCAGGGTGATGACTCTTTAGGCCTAACCTGTCATCCATGTAAATACACAACAGATAACTCTTATCAGTTTGGCACCAATAAAGCCAGTCTGCTTTCAAACTTCATCCAAAAGCACATATCTTTTATAGGGATTAGAGGGATTAAATGTGCAACCTGAATGTATTCAGGCTTATGTTTTATCCAGTGACTACTTTATCCTGTCTTCCATTCTTGGTTCAGAAAAAGTGTGCAGAATAGGAGGGCAATAGTGCCACCTTTGGGTAAGTTTGAGTAGTACAGATAATGCAGAGCTCCCACAGCACTGTTGGAAACAGGTAGAGTTTCCCTGTGCCTTGGCTGTTGCATCCACAGAGCTTTTGACTGCACATATTTGTAGTCCTATGGTATTCTTTCATACATTGGGTATGGAGAAGGGCATGGGAGGAAAAGGAAGGGGTCTGGAGTCTGCTGGGCCCTAAACAAGCCGGGACTCCCTGGCCAGGTCTTAGCTGGCTGACTGACAGGCGGCCCACCGACTGTTTGTGTGTGTCCATGGGAAATGGGGCGGTGTCGCTGTGGCGACGGCCCTGAGGCTATCCATCAGTGTCATGGGGGGGTGGGGTTGTGTGGGTGTATGGTATGTGTCACCTCCAAGACTAATGGACAGGAAGTACAGCCGGAGAAACAACAATATTTGCAGAATATATATTCAGAAAAACTTTAAGGCTCGGTCTACGGTTCTCGAACGATTTCAAAAAAACTCTGAGCGCAGGCCTTAATTCTGATTGATGAGCCTGTTTATTTAAAAGACGCTCGCTCTGAGGCCATGGCTCTCACTGACCTGATCTATAGCCCTGAGCTTTTAGAGCATACACTCACAACATGCCTGTTTTATGGGACTATCGCAGTCCTGGTTATCACACATCAGTGACACTATCCTGGCAAGCAAGTGATGACCTGCATGACTGGACTATGAAGTGACCCTGTGATCCTACAAAGCACTGTGAAACTGGGGGCCATTTTGGAGCCATATAGGAGGACAGGGAGAAGGAGAAAGAGCAGAGCAAACCCAGACTAAATTCTTTTTACTGTCACAGAGGGACCCTGCATGCTCATTAGTGTTCAGAGACCGAGGGGCTTAACCTCAGCAGCCGGTGACTGTGGCGTCCAAACCGGAGCGCTTTGTGATGTTGACCTTGACCACCTCCTCGGCACAGGTCGGGTGGATACCTACTGTCTGCAGAAGGTGGGAATATGTTGCTCCACATCTAAAAAAAACATTCAAACAAACATAGAGGTCATTCAACTTGCTTTTACTCATACTCTCTCATGACTGACAACTGTCGTTACCTAATATCCTTTACAACGTCCAGTATTTTCTTCAGATTGTTCAGTATCAGTTTGACCTCCTTATCTTATTTTAAAACAAAAGCATGTGTCTGCAGAGGACCTAAAAAAGGACCCAGCTATAATTTGTATCGGTAATGTGTTAGTATTAGTTTCATTAAGGCAGTTCATCGTTTGCACAAAACCTTGATAAGCAGGTGTACTTAATTCTTGAGAAATGCCAAAAAAGGGCATGTTGGCTAGACTTGGACCTCAAGACCAGCAATTACGGGTCCTTTGTAAAGAATTCTGGGAGGGATTAGATATTCTGGTGAATTTGAGATCACAGACTACATATAACAAGGCTTAGACTTCATTTAAAAAGGCTTTAATTGTGACTTTAATTCTGTGTTTTTAGCAAATGACGACTCTCTCTGTGATGCAGTCAACTCCACCTTTGTGGTCCTCCAAGCAGAATCATAGGGCAAAGAAAATAAAAGCTACCTGCCTAAAACTAGCATTAGTCATTTTCTTAATGACACAAGGAAGCCATTTTACAATACCACAAGCCCCGAAGATAGATTAGTGTCTAATATTTTAATGTTTGCTGTATGAAATAAACTGAAATGTATCGCTCACTAAATGCATGACTGCTGAGTGAGAACAATTAATTAGAGTTAGTCAAGTCCTACAAGTTATTCCATTCTGCACATCCTGGTGACTTTGAGAGAGGTAAAACACATCTACTCAACCCTGTAATTGTTTGGATGATTGTTGCATAAAAAATAAATACAGTAAAACACCAAATTTACCTTAAATAAAATCTAGGATTTGATAAACTTACTGGAAGCCCAAAGCAAAGCCCTGTGCGACTTCTCCGGCGTTTGGACCGGTGAAATGCAGACCCAGGATCTTCTGGTCTCCACCCCGCTCACATACCACCTAAGGTCAAGGAGATGTTAGTGACAGGTGTGTACCCTACACCTGTTTTCCTGCACATGGTTTCCCTATCTGTTTTTGGCTGTGGCGGTCATGACATTTTAGGATCACTTTTATATTTTCGGTTGGTAGTGCGAGACAAGTGGATCCCAAAATCCCCCAAAAATCAAAGGTTGGTAGGATTACCTAATGGTCAGATGACTCACATTATTTCTCTCAAACACACATACTGTACAAAGAACTAAATTATACGGTGTGTAAAATGCCAACACAAGATCCTCAGAAATAACTCTAAAAGAAACTCCGGTTGGCAGTTTACCTTTAAGTAGCACTGGCTGGCATCACGCTCTGCCACAGTGTATTCCAGAGGCTTGTAGAAAGCATGGTAGACCTACTCAGACAGAAAAACAGAGGACAAGTCATATCAACAGCAGAAATGATTTATGATTTATATACATTTTATTTTTTAAAAAGTACAATTAGACATTCACAAACAGCAGCAACAACAATAAAACAAAGAAAGAAAAAAAAACAGACAAACAAAAAGCAAAACAAAACAACAATAATAATTACAGAAATATAAAGAACTTTACAGTGATTTCAAGATAGCCTCTTGTGGATCTTTGCTTTAACCAGCAAAGCTTATTAATATGCAGCAGTGATGCTGATCTCTTTCTGTGCACATAAGAGATGCATTTCTGAAAATATGAAACTAATAGAAAACAAGTACTAGGGTTGAGTATTCTGTTGAAATAAGTAGCTTAAATAACAACTTCCGGTTAGCCCCTCCAGTCAGAATTAAGCTCCGCCCATTCCGAGTATGGCTCCGGATACAGATCATTACTTTTGTTGAACAGATACAGATAGGGGTGTAATCACTCATCCCTAATAAGGACAGTGAATAAAAAAGGCTTTGCAGACAATACAGCATGCCCAATGAGAGTTTTCCAAGCAAATAAAAAGGCCATTAATGTTAAAATTATTATTATTTGCAAAACCATGAAACAAAATAATTAATTAAATTTAGTATCACGGCCCCCAAGTTACATACTGTATTTTGTGAGCACTAATTCAAACACACTGTATAAAATCTTCTAAAAAAGCCCGTCTATGGTTGCTCATGATAGTGATTGATTTCATACTCCTTACTGAAAACGTGTGTGCAGTGGGTTTTATTCTACAGGCGAACGTGCCGACACAAGTTGTGAGGGCCATGCAGCTGTCGGGGGCCGGTGCTGCAGCTCTTCCTCAGATCTCAGCGTGCCTGTCATCACCCCATACACACCTCAATCAGGCCTCCTGCTCGCCCGTCAGTCACAGCAAGGAGCCCAACCTCACTGGCTAAACCGTTTATCGGCGGCCTCGTGCAGGTGTTGGCTAACATGTTGCACATTGCTCACATACGCAAGCGTGTAAAACACAGAGCTGCTTGCTGTTGCATTGAATGCGTGTGTCAATGTTTGTTTGTTTAGGAGTATAGGGGTTAAAATTAACAATAGTATAGTTTTTTTATGCAGGCTGTAGGCAGGCAGGCAGTAACAAGCCACTAATAATGCCCGTGTAACTTTCTTTGTGCATGTAGCTTTTCATGGTGAAGAAACTAAAATTACAATTCAAGAAAGTTACAATAGACCAATGCAACACCAGTTCTGCGTAATATTATAAAGAGATTATAATTCCTTATAATGAGATCAGTTTAATTAACGTCATAGAAAGTAAGTAAAAGACTTTTACACAACTTACATAGGACCATTGTACTTAAAATATGATTACAATTAATTTTGTATTTAAAAAATTAATGTCAAATTTTTCACCTAAACACTGCAGTTTACTTTATATATTTATATATTGATAAAATAGCAGGCACTTGAGTTGCCACATTCTAGTTCTAGCTTTATTATATTATTAAATGCACGGCACTACCTTACCTCTATGCCGTCTTTTCCATGCCTTTTCTCAGCCTCCTCCTCAGACAGACCCACACAGCCGTACTCGAGGGGAGTGAAAACTGTGGTGGGCACCTGAAAAACACACACACCTTAAAACTACAGTTAAAACAAAATGCCAATTAAAACAAGCAAGTTGTTTGACTGAAAATTGTGCAACCATTATGATCATTCAAAAATCCAATAATGAACAATTTTCACAAATGTTTGACATTTTATTAACCATATGACCCAATTAATTGAGAAAATATCTGGCTAAGGAATCAAGTATCAACAAATTCGTTAAACTGGAACCCTTCTATAAAATAAAAACTGTGTTTTTCAACTATGGTCTTTATTCAGGTCTGAAAGTTGTCAAGTATTATGGAGTAATTATTGCTTTTGGTTTGTATTTTAATACCATGGAGGAAACTCATAACAGCCAAGCTGTAGAAAGATGGAGGGCAATTATCAGCCTCCGAGTGTGTGTCTGTGTGTGTGTGTGTGTCTTACGTTGTCGTAGTTCATGAGCTCAGTGCTTTGACCAGCCAGTCTGCGCGCAAGAAGCTTTCCCGCTTTAATGGCCGTTGGTGTCAATTCAGGGCGGCCCTAAAACAAGACAATTTCATTTAATTGAAACACTTACAACACTTATGATGCAAGTCTAATTCTTGAAGTCGCAAATGATTTTAAAAGTGTGTTTTACCTTGCTGTAAGTGACAGAAGTGTGAAGTTAAAACCATTTGGTCATCTGTTTTTATTTTAAATTGGTGTAAATACAGACAGACAGACAGACAAGGTGGACCATGAGTCACTGACTGACATATGTGCTCAACATTTAAACCATCTAGCACAGCTCTGCTCCTGTGTTTTTTGCCTTTATTGTTCTGGATGTCTGCCAAAACAGACAAACACATAGTCCTGGATACGCACACACACGCACGCACACACACACAGCTAAATGGTGCAGGAAACAGTAGGGCTGCGGGGCAATTCTAAAGGCATGACTTAAACCTGTTAAATTACCACCGCACCTCCTGTTGTCCAAAACATCTCCTGCACCTCTGCATGTATATGGATGCGTGCTCTGGTATTCCAGTAACTGTCATTCGTCATTGTAATGCATTTCTTGGCACAAAAACGAGCACTGGACAAATTGAGATATCAACCATCCTGCTTTGCTGCAGTGAAAGGATGACAGACAGATTGGTTTGAAGCACAACTCATCAAAGAGACCTGCCAGTCAAAAACAGTGTGTGTGTGTGTGTGTGTGTGTGTGTGTGTGTGTGTGTGTCATGAGGCCTGGGAGGCAGGAAGGAAGCACACAGCTGGTTGTGGTGAAATAACAACACTGACATTACATGCAGCAGGTATAACTAGTTTTAACATGGCTGGTTCAGCTTGGAACACACAGTGGCAGTGCCAGGGAGTATAGGCAGGCTGGAAAATGTCCTACCTTTAAGAGAATGATTATTATTTATTGTAATAAATAACTATGAAGGCATGTTTGTTGAATCTGCACTTTGTACTTTTTGCAATAGACCTATTGAACTGTATCCGATTGCTTATGATTGAACTCTCCAAGTGTCTTATTTGTAACCCATGTTGATTGTGATGAACCCAAAGACAATTTTCCTCATCGTGGACAATAATTCTAACCTAACCTCCTGTCTGTATGTCGTCATCCTTCATAAAATGCGCAAAGCTCAGTTTGCTAATGTGCAGACAAAAATACAGCTCAATAGGCCTTTTTGTCAATATGTTCAATTCAATTCAGTTTAATACTTTTCTACATATTGTGTGTGAATGAGGTCAGAAGAAAAGAAAGGAAACATTTGAAGGGGAAAAAATGGTTGATATTACAATTATTGTCATCATTTTTACACATACAGCAGTGGGGTTTGTGGCGTTACAGGCTTTCCCCATAGAGTTGTATTGAGGATTCTTAAAGTGGCATGTCTCCTTTATATAACGTCTCTGTTAGCACCCAGTTCATCTCTGACTCACGGGTCAAGAATTTCTACCTACTACAGTTCATTTTGATCAGTTTACGACATGCAAATTTTCTGTCATGGTACAAAACAAATTCTCCAGAGCTGATATGTGTTATGAGTGTTTTTCATCTATGGCTGTTTCTGCTGTCAGTGTCTGTTGAGGATGCCTACCTCGCCGATGTCACCAAAAGCATAGATGTTTGGCACTGAGGTGGATTCAGCAGCGCCTACCACTATTTTCCCCGTCTCCTTGTTGAGTTGCACACCAAGCTTGTCCAGGCCCAGGGCTTTGGTTTCAGGGGCTCTGCCTGAGGTCAATGGAAGGAAACAACACAAGGAGAATATTGCATTACAACTCAGGAGAGTTAAAGTTCTGGGAGAGGAGAGAAGCTCTCTGTACTGTGTTCACAACGTTTTAAGCTGAGGTTTTAAGGCCACCACTGCCCACCCAACACAGAAAAGCTTGTCCAAAAATTACGGATATATGTACAGTGTTCCTAACACCTACAGTAGCATGCAACTGGGGCACTAAGAGAGAGGACTTGCTAATACATTAACGTTCTCTGATTTATCTTCATTGGTGACCAACAGCCAAACCTGACCTTCAGGAATTACCTAACAATAAAGAATTGACTGTTTCATCAGACTATCTCGCATGATGAGAGCTTTTCCAACCGGACGATGAATCTCTGGGGACAAAGAAAAAGATTAACTGCCATTAATTCTGATAGTTTTCATTTATAAAACTACAAGAATAAAAGTCTACATGCTAGCAGCACCAAAATCACTATAATCGCCCACAGACGTGGACTATCTGTATAGTTCACTGCAATTCATCGATTAGTTTCACTCACAACCACAACTGTTAAGGGGCACTAGAGGAAAGGTCAGTGTAAAATCAAGATTCATCCTCTGGAAACAATGAATGCCTGTAGCAAAGTCAATAGAAATTAGAAAGTTGCTGAGATTTTTTAAGTCAGAACCAAAATGGTGGACCGACGTTGCCATCCCTAGAGCCGAGGATTTGTTGTTTTTTTCAGTTTTATGTCTTTTTCAATTGAATATCTCTGGGTTTTGGACTGTTGGTTGGAAAACAACAACATCTGGCCAGCTGAGAGGGAGAGCTCGAGAGGAGGAGCAACTGATGAGCAGCTGGGAATCGGTATCCCAATCGACCCCCGGGACACCCGAGGTGTGATTTCTGCCGCTTCCTGGGGGACGGCTGACTGATACTGTCGACACTGAGTCTCTATGGTGATGGTGCATGGACCATTCGCCTCCCCCCCCACTTCTCCATAGCTCCTCACAACCTGCCTGGGTAGCATAATAAACACCCAGCCATGAGCTACCCATGTAGATGCTATCGGACAGCAAAAATAACAAACCCCCGAGACCCCTTTTCCTGGCTGGAGCCGAAGAACAACGTCCTCCGCCTCTTCTCAGACCAGGGGGGCCACTGGGACCGGTCTAGTGCTCCACAGCATGGGTGGTTGAAGGCAATGGAGAGCACAGTGAAGGATGAGAGAGGGGAAGTTACGCAGTCATGACCAATTCCCGAAAGCAAGAAAAAATATTTTCTTGTCTTACATGTCCATAACACTAGAACAGTCTGCAAATACATTTCATTCTTATAGTGGAACTTTGCTTTACATTTTACATTTAGCCGTCTAATGGAAGTGTGCTCTCTAGTTTTTGTTTCTGCATAAAAAAAACTTAACATATCTCCATCCTTTATATTAATATGAAATATTATGCATTTATATAATTCATCAATAATATATGTGTTGATTTATTATCAAGAATTGAAACAATATGGCTTCACTCTATCTATGCTGAAGGCCATGAGATGAATGAATGAGTTTTAAACACATTTAAAAACAGTTTTAAACCTGGCTGTGATGGATTTATAAGTTTTATAATACACCGTAAGGATCAGTAAATATGATTACAGCTATGTTACTGCATACTTTGTTATCAATTATTTATTACCTTTAAACAGCAGTTACAGTGGCTTCAAATAAAAAGTTATAATGGATGGCAAATACATTGTAGTTATATCTGCTGACAAGTACAGTACAGTGTTATAAACAACTGATGAAGTGTTTAAATAAAACTGTAAATTACTATACACTAACTATAAATGCTAAAAAAGGAACATTAAATTAAAATGTTTCATAAGTCTGAATTTCAGTGGAGCCACACCCTTTAGGGTGGCTTTACCTCCCCGACAAGAATAAATGTGTGTTGTCTCGTTGAAAAATGAAATACTTGATATTTTCTGCTTTAGAAGTATTGAATTTCAGCATCAGTTACACCAAAAATATCAGTCCTGGCCTACAAAAACACATATCAGTAAGGATCTGACTGGCAAGTATAGACTCTCTCTTTACATATCTGGCCTTCCTGTCTGTAGCTCCGGTCACTGCTGTACTGTAGCAGTGACCGGAGCGCCATTGTACAGCGAGGACACAACAACATTAGCTGGCTGATAAGGGACTTGGTTGAAGCTGGGACACACACAGAACCAAAAGATATGCCAATCTGAACAAAGCCTGTTGTGACATTAAGAGGAAGCCTCTACACTGCTAGGCTAATTAGCCCCAACAACCCTCTCCGTGTTTAAATGAGAGCTGGACGCTTATCTGATCAATCAAATGAACAAGGACAAAAGAGAGAGCAACATGAGGGGGGAGACTGTTTTTCCAAGGGGAACAGATCATACAGGATGTATTCTGTTTCAGGCCAAAAGGTTTTTAAGATGCAAATCGATAAAGAGCTCACTAGGCAAGTACATAACAAAAGATGTCGGGAAATGTCACGAAAACTCACTGCACTGCACTCTGCCCCCCAACAGCCCTGTGTCTGCTGTGGAATCCTTCCTGGGATCCACTTTATCCCAGGACCTAAAGTGGGAGCACCAACCATCATCAAGAAGGCCCAGCAAAGGATGCATTTCCTGCGCCAGCTCAGGAAGCTCAACCTGCCTAAGGAGCTGCAGATCCACTTCAACACAGCCATCACACAGTCTGTCCTCTGCACGTCCATTTTATATTTTAAGAATCCACGCGACCTTTAAACACAGACTCATACAGTGAGCGTTTAACTGTACACTGACATAAGCTTAAAAGGAAAGGGGACAATGCTTTCAAAATAAAACACAATTTCAAATTCTTGCCACAATAACAGAAATGCTTAAAATTGAGCCACACCACAATGTGACAGAAACAAGAATACTGAATTGTGTTGTGTTTATCTTTAGATGATCAGTTTTATTTACAACTGTTCAGCCAGTTTTTGGTTTTGAGCGCTGATACTTCTGCAGTATTTTCGAGCTGATATTCAGTGACCATGGAATAAGACTATTTTTGGTCACTTCAAATGTTGTTTCCTAATTGCACAGCAAGTTAGTGTTGGCAACCCCACAGGGTAAAACTGTTTAGAAACACAAGAGCAACATTCAGGAACGTCATCTGAAACTTATAAAACCGAGACAAGCAAATGTCCTTAAAAAGAAATGTTTTTAAATGACATCCTTGAGTACTGTAGAGCGCAGTGAGGAGAAAGACTAATGTGCCTACTGTCCACATGTAGACAGGAAGCATGGAAATGTTCTGTTTCCTGGTGTGTTTCTGCGGGCACACCTGGACAGGGGAGCGGCCATGAGGCCAGGAAGGAGCAGGGGAAAGGTGGAGGGAGGCAGGGCCGTGGAGAAGGATGTGGCAGACAGTGGTGATACTGTCCCCGGTCCCCTCTGGCCTTTAATAACTCCACAGAGGCCTGGGACCCTGCCTGGCCCCTAGTGTAAGGTCACAGTAAAGGGAAGTGGCCTTGTACTCATAACTTCTGCATGCACACATCAAAGAGCAGAGGCTATGTTGTTACTGGTTCTCACTAAACTGTATGGGAACAAAAGGGGTCCTGGATGTAGCTGGGTCTTTGCAAGGTTTTAGCTGGTAGCACCAACACAAGGATATTGCTGCTGGTGTTTTCACAATTTCAGGAAACCTTTTAATATGCAACATTGTTTTGAAATAAGATAAAGGAACTTGATTACGCTGGCGCTGCTGTTGGACAAACTAATAAAAACTAGCAAATTATTTGCTGCATTTAATGTAAAGTGTAAATTGAAAGAGGTTAAAAACAGGCTAAAATACTTTATACTACTACTTTGGTGCACTGTGGATTGGAATCGAAATTAACTTGTTTTGTCGGGTCCCAAAATATCAAGAGTTTGTGTGAGAACTCTCGATCTAATGAATATAGGAAACATAATGGTTGCAGCATCTCACGCATGTCAGAGTATCTAATGATACATGCACTCAATGCAAATGTCATTCTCACCAGCAGTCTCACGCTGAGACAATGTGAGCCACAGGAGGGAAGAACGAACGTCATGTCAGCTGCAGGGTCACACACATCCTTTTCGCTGTCACACGCATAAGAAGAGGACGCGCTCCTCTCTCTCCCTCTCACAACGGCCAAATAAAGAACCAGTCTGGGTGAAGCAGGCACTGGAAAAGCCTGGTAGTCAGATTTTCAGAACTTCACCTTCACAGATTTGTCTTTGAAACCACTCAACACAAATAAACCGACGGCAGAGGCCCTGACGGATGTTCCCTCCATTGTTACTCATACTGCTGGTGGAACGGGAGAAGTGAAATGATAGAAAAGAGAATGGAGAGATGAGAAGGAGGAGGAGGAGGAGGAGGAGGAGGGCTGGTGGTAACGGCAGGCAGAGGGCCACGGGCAGGGATGGCAGTGACAGATGCGGGGTTGGTTTCCATAGAGCTGGCATGAGCAGGAAGGCCCGGAGAAGGAGAACAAAGAGGGGAACGCGGTGACCCGTGCCTGGGTGCATCCTGCCCCATCCTGCCCCTCTCCAACCAGAGAGCCAGACAGCCAGCGGTGGGTGATTAACACTTCCCCCGGCCAGTCCCATCACTCAGGCTTTATTACTTTGTTTTCAGCCTTGATTCCTCTACTATCTGCTGACTCTGCACTCTATTGAGGATGACAATGAAACTGATGGTGGCAGGGAGAACATTCATCCCAGTGTTTTATTTCAGGGAGAAACAATAGGAGTGGTGTATTACATGTGATACCTAGAGAGGTTTTAAAGATAGGGCATACAGAGTTAAATACTGCTAATTTACTAATTCATGTGTTTTAATATCTGGTTTATAAAAAAAAATTGTTGTTGTGGCAAGGTGGGTTTATAATTAAAAGTAGTGTACACAACTAAATGATAAGGCTCAGACATCTGTCAGAGCTATTTTGAAGTCCAACTCGAGTCTAGATGCAATTGATACGAAAATCTTCGTCAAGTCACAAGTCAATGAAGACAAGTCCAAGCAAAGTCTCCAACTCCAAGGCAACTCTGGAGTCACTTGTGACGAGTCAGAGTCAAGTCTCACCTAACGCATGCCTTTCAAAGCTATGTTTATAGTGTTATATTCAAGGTGTGAGGCTATGCAAGAAATGCTTGTCATAGTCTTATAGTTTTTTGGTCCTTTTATCAGGCCAAAACTTAATATTTAAATGTTTGTACACATAAAACTCACTGCAGACCCCAAGATGTGACCCACACACTCACCAACTGCCCATAACACAGAGTCGAAGTTGTCCTTGTGCTCGGTGCCTGTGTGGGTGTCAGTCCACGTCACCTGCAGGGCTCCTGTGGAGAGTTTGTCAACTCTCTTTGGGATACACTTCCATGCAAACTTGGTCCCATATGCCTCCATGTAGTCCGTCACTAGACCTGCCATTTGCTGCATAAACCAAAAGAGAATATTCACCTTCAAACACAACACAAAAAACACTATCACGGCATCTAGAATAATCAGACTGTAGCTCAGGGAGCAATACCTGATCAAACCCCCGGAGGGCGATGCTGCGAACCATCACTGTTGTGTCCAAGCCAAGACCTGTGAGGAAGCCCGCACACTCCAGAGCCACATCTGAGCAACACTAGGTTAAGGATTGTTTTTCTTAGTTGGCATACAGTACAGCAACTACTGCTGTGTGGCCCTAACACATAAAAGATAACACTCCTGTGATATCACTATGTTTCTTCTTCTTTCTGTATCATTGTTTACCAAATGGACGGTGCATAATTCATGTCAGACTGAAATCCTGTTGAAGGGTCTCAATGCAGTACTGCAGATATGGCACGCTGAGTTTAACACAAGTGTCAAGAGTTATTTAGAAATACTATTTCCAGCTGGTCTGATGCCAATGTTACTTTTTTTGATGAGTTACTAACTTTACTAATTACCAGTGGACTTTTATACAGTGGCTTCATATACAAGCTGTCTGGCAGACAAAGGATACAGCTGGCTCCAACCACAAGCCTGTAAAACACATGATAATTAGCTGAACTAATAATACAATACAAATACACTTCATCATTGGCGCAGCACACTTTGGCCAAATAAAATAAAGCAAGTCCAAAGTAGAAAATGTTTACTTTAAATCCCAAAATTAGAGAGGTGATGAATTATAAAACTTCATAACCTCAGAGGGAGGTGAAGTGGTGTGAAGAAAATGTAGGAAACTGGGACAGTAAAAGCCGTGTGTGTGTGTGTGTGTGTGTGTGGTCCAAGAGAATCACACATCTAATCCAGCTCCAGAGATCTGTGGCAGTGAAGAGTGCTAATTGCCAGCATTTAGGCTAATCCCTGCAGATGGGGTGGGCCATGTTCAGGGCTCAAGTCCACACATCAGCCAGCTGAGTGATGCCCGTCACCCGCATATAAGAGGCCCTTCTCTCCCTTGTTTTTACCTCTGCAACCCAAGCCTCTTTCTCTCAGGTCTGCTCCACCTGACAGCTCAGGCTGCCTGCGGCACATCCTGCTCTTGTCCATGCTAACACTAACCACTAAAAGCCCCGGTGCCCATTTTCTCTCTGTCTCTGTAATGCACAGCTGCACTTAGCACGTATTGTGCAGTGGATTAAAGCAGATTAGGTAAAGAGCTTTAGCTTGATGCTACACTTTCATCACTGAGAAACTGTCTCCTTTCCCCGAGCCCATCTTGCCTCTCTAGGTACACTGGCCTGGAGTCTGTACAGCTGCTACATTATTCAATTAAAAGATCATGCTATAGATCTTTCACAGCCCTTCTGACCCCTTTTAACAATGAAGGGAGATGCAGTCAATATATTTAACTCTCAGGAAAAAGAAACATACCCATACTAATATTTCCTTACAGTAACCAATGCATACACTGATTAGGTTATCTCTGACAGTCATGTTTTAACAAGTGTATTTTAAAGTATAGAGAAAGCCAGTTCACCATGCTGGATTAAGGGAAGTATCACAGACATGAAAGAGTCAAAACTATTAATGTGTCTAATAAATGTTGTCTAGTCCCAGCGTGATTAATGTCTCATACAACACTAATCTCCCATTTGAAGTAACAGAGTGAACAAGAAGCCAAACAACAAACAGAAACATTATAAATCTCTTGAGGTTTGGCAGTGGATTGGTCGCTTGTAGTTGGAGGCTCAAGCCAAGGCTTCACTGAAGGAAGGAGCTTTGCTATTGGCTGCCTGTGGAAGCCCCAACTCAGATAAACACTAGATGTGGATACTCCTGTGTATCTGTCTAATATGTGGGTGGTTTTGTTGCAAGGCTTGATGTAAGTTCAACTTACCTTTATTACATTTTCTGAAAGCATTTCAGTTTGCCTTCGCCTTTTTGTTAAAGCTACATGGGCCGCATGACAATGTAACAATGAGGATGCCTTGAACCCAAATATTTCTCTTGTTCCATTGTTGTCAGAGTAAAATAAAGTTGAAAGTGCTTATGATAGGCACGTGCTATTATTACCGTATTTAAACAAACACATCCAGTTAACTGTCTGAAGTGGATAACACTTAACAGGCAGATGTAAATTTTCATTAAAAAGATATTTATTAAACCATTATACTATTAAATAATTAAACAGGGCATTATAAATCCCAAAACTTTTATTTTGACAGGTATAATAATAACTTTGAATGAATTTTCTACTTACTGGGGGTTCCTGAAGAGTTCTGAATATGTTATGATTTATTGTCTTCATGTACAAGTCATACGCTCTGCTATAAAGAAAAATGATCTTTGTTTTAACAGGATGTATACTGACGGTTTTATTTTACAAATTATGTAATGTTATTCACTTCCTTTCGTTCTGGGCTATTCCCTGGAAAGGTACACACGTTTCTCACTCTGTTTACTGTCAACTGATTTTTAATTATATTATTACATTTCAAACATGAATATCTATTAATTTTAATCTATGCATTTATCTGTAAATTAGGAGAGAGTTAAAAGTGTGGCAGGGCTGCTGTGTAGCTGGCTGGTTGGGGACACTTTGATATGCTGTTTGTGGTATTGTAGAGTGCACGCATGCAAAAGAGACCCTGTAAATGTTTTGTCTTTTTCTACAAATTCTAGGAAGTCATGCTGAAGCCATCTGTAGTGCTTTGCAACAAACTGCTAAAAGACATTCCTGTGAAGTCCTTGTCCATTACACAACACAAACCCACATACTCTCTTTAACTCATTCAAGTACTGGCCTATCCCTAGACCAGTATCACAGTCCTGCTGGCACGTGCTCAGCGCTGTCTCATGATAGCATGATGCTGGCAGCCAGCTCTGGGCTTCGGCCCCGGGGCCAGATCTGTCACTCAGGTGTGTTATGTGCTCCAAGACCCATTAGACACCCTTCACTCGCCTGGACCCCCTCACACACCAGCCCTGTCGGCATAAACAGCCTCTTGGACATCACCTGCACAGCTGACAGCTGACAGCACAACATCTCCAGCTCCAGCTCCAGTGTGCGAGCACCCTTATGAGGGAGCTAAAGCTAATGTTAACCCACAACTATCACCTTAACAGCCTGCGGGGAGGTAGAGGACTCCACTAACCATCACACTCTTACATCAAAGGACTTCCTGAGCTCAAGTGGTCTCTCTGAATAGATAATTCTGCTTCATATACAAAGGTGTTTTGTTGAATGGGTGAATGCTACGGTGGTAATTGTTCAAGGATAATTACAGTGCACTCCTGTAGATATGTTTATTGTAAATTATTTTGTGTTGCCACCAAGTGGTCAAAAAGTGGAATGACATACAGAACGATACATAATACCACACATTTTACAATTAAAATTATAGAGGAACTGATGGTCCTAAACAGAACAAAATAATTTAATTGTGTGCTGCGTACCCGTCGCCAAAATCACACACGCACTAAGTATCTGCCAAAACAGAAAAAAAAATTATATAATTAACAACAATTAAAAACCTCATGCCCCAGGTGCAGACAGCCTAGATATATACAGTACGAAGCTTAAATATCCGAATCATTATTTCCGCTAATCTGTCATCGTGAAGCAAACAACAACCACAGGCCAGGTACACCACAACCGCTAGTCACCGTCTGTGCGTTGTGCCAAGAGGAAACGTCAGGGAGAGACCAATTAACCAGGCGATGACAGGGGCTAAAAGGCTGGATTAAAGGGCTTGTTCTGTAAAGGTCAGGATGCACACCGCTAATCTGAATCATGAGGCGAGGACAGGCTGACAGGAAGGGAGAAAAACAAACTGCATGTCACTGATGAATGATTACAGTGCGTGACCGTGGGACGTGTCGTGTCAGCGAGCAAGGTAGCGCGGTGACTTAGAGTTTAGCATCAATACAAGAGAGGTTAGAGGTTCTGTTTCCCTTCAGGCTCTTTGTGTAGATGGCAACAATCCTACACATTCTCAAATGCATGGATTCTAGGAGGATATTGTTATTTTGGAGCTGAAGCAACAGAAGGCAAATCACCAACATTACTAGGACTTTTTACTTTCAGCACTGTAGAATAGCTGAAACTGCATGCAGACCATTATCACAGCATATAATCTGATGTAAAGGGCACTGGCTGGTTAAAATCTGCTTAATAATATAATTTAATACGAGGGGGGCGGGTCTGTGTGTGTGTGTGTGTGTGTGTGTGTGTGTGTGTGTGTGTGTGTGTGTAGTTAGGTGGAGGACGTCCTCACGTTTTCCCGGGCGACTTTTTCAGCCAGAAGATGTCATCACTTGTGATGCCGTGCTCCATTGCTCCAGGGATCTGTAATGAGAGTTAAAGCTGTGACCAGAACTATCCAACCAACTATCAACAGATCTATCAGTATTGTTAAAAAGTCTAAAACCTGCCTTCCTTTGTGTGTTAAGGCATGTTTGTGTGTCATAGTGTAATGGCTCCAAACCACATTCACTTCAGTGGTTTTGGCTACTCTGCCGCTGTAGGGTCTCTCTTTGCTCATTTGTTTGTCTACCTGGTAACCAATCAACCAAACAACACGTGCTGGCAGAGAAACATCTCGGGGGTGGGGTGGTTGGGATGATGATAGCTATGTTACTTACATTTGTAGGGTACTTGGGCCGTCCACCCGTAGCGATCACAATGTTCCTGGCAGTCAGGATCATCTGTATGTGAGAGGAGGTTAAATGTTAAGTAACAGCCTTTGTTCATATCAAATGAATGCAAGCGGTCTCCACAGTATTCTGCATTAAAGTAATAACGAAAACACTGAAACGAGTAACAGCACTCTCAGTAGCTACAATATGGAGGTGTCCATTTAAAATAGTATTATATAAGTTGACAATAATTTAATAAATACACAATGATTTTTTTATAATTAAAAAACATTTAAAACATATTTAAATGAAAAATGAAATGAAGCAAACTACTAATGTTGTAATAATTTGTATTAATGTTACATGTTTGATATATCATATATAATCAGTTACATAAAAATAAGTATTGAAAACATTTTATAGCAGTAAAGTAATTCATACATTTTGTGGTTGTAGTCTCCAATTATCAGTTTGGTACGGAAGCCCTAAACGGCCATCCATTCAAATAGTTTTCGGGATCATTTTCCTCATGATCTCGAGATAACAAAGCAGTTGTTTAACACAGGGGTGCTGCTTTTTCGGAACCTTTGAAATAGCCGTCGGGAAATGTGTGATTGGATTCCCCTGAATCTCTTTGTTGAAGAGGATAGTAAAAAAACACTAAAGAAGTAGGGATGCACCGAATGTACGGTCACCAAAATTAATCGGCCGAAAATAGCCAAAAAAGCACTTTTGGTGTTCGGCCTAATAAATCAAAAGACGGAATAAATTTTACAGAACAGTTACTTTGACATGTGTGGAAGCATTTTAAAGTGTCTGAGGAAGACGCAAAAATGGCCGTTTTGCTGACGCTGTTCTGCTGAATTGTCTCCCTGCACATCCACTCCATCTGTGGCTGACTTTTTAGAAAAAGCAACAAACGATCTGACCCGCTTTGAGTGTTTCTGTCACTCGTTTATGAAAAGATGATTTAGAGTGCACACGTATTCAAACCTTTACGGTAACTGAAATGGACCAGAGCCAGCTGACAGGCAGGTTAGCGACTTTATCCTGTCAGTTTATCTCTTTACAAAGACAAGTGTTGCAGTATGAGAGTCCTACCTGAAGAGAGGCTGTGAAGTCTTCATGTTACACGATACGAGAACCACATACAACATTATTTATCAAACTGGGTCGGACTTGGTGAATTTAGCGCGAGGATACACATGTGACAATGTCCGGTTTTCAACATAAGGTGTCTATAAAGTATGGAAATAAGATTAATTGGATAACATTCACAGAAAGTATAAAACATATTACATGTGTCCATTAAAAGTAAATGGACACTCAGAGCCACCCACCGTAGTCTCCTCCAAACCTGTGGGAATCGTTGAGTAAAATGCACATTTTGGCCATTTAATTTATGCAATGGTTAAAAAAAAAAAAAAGGCAAAATAAATGGATAAAATGTAAATGTATTTGTTCGGTATTGAGCAATTTTGTTCATTATAGTTAATATTTTTTATTTCGGTGCATCCCTCAAAAGAAGGAATCCTTTGATTACAAGTCCTGTGCTCTACCAACCGAGCTAACCAGAGACACAGGAAATCTTTCTGAAATTATCCTGAAGAAACGCACCTGCCGACCCCTGTATTCAGATATGTTTGTTATCTCCAGATCACAAGAAAATTATCCCGTTATCATGGGAAAACAGAGTAAAAAATTAATAATTGAATGGATGGCCGCTTAGGGCTTCTGTAGTTTGGGACTGGCTGATTGTATAAATAAATGTCTTAATCACCTCTTTCCCAGCTTTAGTTAGTCCTTTAACTGTGTGTTCATCCACCAGACTTCCTTTGATGTTCAGATACTTCACCTTCCTGCAAAACAGAGGATCAACAGCTGGTTGTAATACTGCAGATTCCACATACAGTAAGTGTTGTGTATTTATTTGTGTCGTCATTTCTCTCACTTATTTCTTGCTAATTCCCACTGTACAATCCCTCTACATTTTATCTTCTTGATCTGCTGAAATACATCAGAAAGACCCCAACAAAAGCATGATTTCATTGCATAGCGAAGAGGCTGGACCCACCTGCATCATGTAAAATGTATTACTGCGTATGTTTCCCATGTATTATATATAATTCTCTGCTTTTTTTTACCAGAAGGATGTGTTGAACTACATCTCTTTATGGATCAGCATTATACATTCTGAGCATCTGGATCAAGAAGTGAAGAGGTGGATTATGCTGCAGGGGTGGTTTCACACAAGTTTCTATGAACATTATACTTTATTTCTACAGCAGAAAACACACAGTATAACTCCACTGTAATGTCAGATATTCAGTCTCGGATCACCTTTTACAAGAAAAAACATTTCACAGCCATGTTTCCAGTCTAAAGGAGCTGAGGATGAGAGACGGCAGAATTTGTATTGAGATTGTAATGTTTTTTTATTTGATTAAGACATTGTTTTAAATGTATTTAAATTCAACATAATAATTCACCATGCTCTTGACGTGTAGATATGGAGACACTTGATTGAAATCGATTGTTGAAAGTTAAATAATTAGGAGTTTAATTTCAATCCACTTAATTTAATTTAAAGACTGAATATTGGTTTTACTTAATTCATTACTTGGTACAAACATAACTAATTATAATTTGCACAACGCAAATATACTCTTGGTCACACAAATCTCTTTACTCACAACTTTAAATTTTAATTGAACTGCTAAGTACTTCTCCCGCCAACAGAACTTTATTGCTACAGGAAAATCTAACTTAATTATTTAATAACATTTATTATTTGTAATTAAACCCTTATTAAATTACTTTTTTGCTGTGTGTTTAACAATGTCTCTCTGCTGTCCTGAAAGTCTCTTAGTTATCTGTTAATTAAAAAGGCAATAAAACCATATTAGAATTACTAATAAGCTAAGTCCAAGCAAATAATATAATTGGATTGAAAACATTTGAGGTTGAGCTTGGGCACATTCACACAGAGGTTAACACCTGTTTGCCCTCCAGCCAACCACTCAATCAACATGTGGTGACTGACTATCAATCCTTCAGCTGTGTACCAACAGAAATGTACAGCCTTCAGCACTATTTCATGTCAGAAAAAACAGACCTGAATATAAATATTCCAACATTTTGGTGAAAAATTACTAAATTTACAAGAATAGAAAGGTTTATTTTTGGCAGGATGACAACATTTGGACTATAATCACACACAAAAATTCTCCACTGAAGAGAAGCCAGCTGAACCAACCCTCACATCCAAAAGGGAGGAGCATCTCCCATAATCCCTGCATTTAAATCAACTGTTAAATGAAACATCGCCTGAATAAAAGCAAGCAGAGCTGGTGTCACTCACTTGTCCTGGAGTTGAACTCTGTGACCCCAGTTCAGAGATCTGACATGGTTCTGAACAGCCTCTGCCATGGTGGCCCTGTAAAACACACCAGAGGGAAATATCATTCCTGTTGTTCCTTTGGGTGTGTTGGCTCACAGACACAGTAAATAATGGGAATCAACAAGCAAATAATGCCCTAACACCATGTATATTCAAATTATAATTTGGCAAACTATTTAGTTTTGTTTGTTTTTATTTATTTTATTCATGCAATTTTCTGATTACACACAAAATAGCATGCAAAAATTTAATATTTGCAGTGACCAAGAACATAGTGAAAATGTAATTTTGAAGCTTTAGCATTAATTGACTTTCCAACCCCAAGTAGTGTCCTGCTGCAATTACATCACTAGATGGTGCCGGTGAGCTACTCATGAACGTTTATCAATTGCGTTGGTCACAGTGAGATTAATTCTCTAATACTTTAGACTTTAGATTGACATACCAGTCGTGGCAGATCGGCCCTGAGATCTGCCACCCAAACTTCTTAGCGTCTTTGACTGCAGCACCGAGCAGAGCAGCCTGGTGCATGAGCTTTTTAGGAATGCAGCCAACATTAACACAGGTTCCTCCAAGACCCCACTTGGTCCCTGTTTGGAAAAGCATTTTCCAGAGGACGTGACAATCTAATCAGCTGGTTCAGACACGTTCAGATAACAACAGTTTCAGAAGAATACCTTTCACAGATGGCTCCACATAATCTAAAACAGCAACTTTCTGTCCCAGCTGCGCCGCTGTGAATATATGGATATACAGTGTCAGTTTATTAAAAGGTATAAATCATACATACACAAACATGAAGGGATAAGAGACACTTCATTATAGCCTATATCTCACCTTCTTTGGAACAGGCAAGGCCTCCTGAACCACCACCAATGACCACCAGGTCATAGTCGTACTTCCCTGTACGAGCATATTAGATGATAGACAGTAAAGTTATGTTGTGTTTACCTCACATACAAAGTTTGCTCACTCAGATCAGCACTCTCAACTCCACCATCTTATTTCATGTTAAAGAATATGCTTGTGTTAATCCTACCATAGTATTTCTCACAAATACGGACTGATGCATCAAGCGGTAAAGTGTTGATATTTTGTTTAACTCGGGACAAATTAACAGGATAACAGTAACAGCAGGTTAAGTTACAGCAGCCCTGCTGGTTTGTGAGCTGCGTGCTGACAGAAACACCTCCGAGTGCGACCCGAACCCCGTCCTGTCCTCCGTATCTACACAACATATATATATTTATTTATTCATACTGTTACCTGTCAGGTTTCTTGTGAAAACATGCACGAAATTAGTCCTTTTCCACCGGTGTCTCCCTCTACAGAAGGCAGCCATGTTGTTATTATGAAAGGACCCTGGTCGGGTGTGTGGTGCCCAGAGACTTGCCTGACAGGAAATAGGTCGCACACACTTCTTCAATAGGCTATTCAATAAAATAATGTATTGTTCATATTAAATCAATAACTGAAGTTTCAGTAACACACTGGGATTACTACACATTATATTATGCATGTATGTGTCATCTTGTTTACTGCCACTCTGTCTACTTATGACACCAACCTACTGCCTGAAGGCATCACGTGGTCTGAGGAGATTAGGCTATTTGACCCACAGTTTTTTTTTTTTTCTTCTTTTACTGTACAAATTCCAATACAACTCTTCATGACATACTTAAACAGATACACAATAATGTTGAGACACTATAAAGTTATAGCAAGACTAAAAGAAAATAACCACAAGAAATAAGGAGAATGTGACTGTCTTACTCCAGGAGCATAAACAAGTTCAACAAAGACAAAAGAATCAGGGCATTTTGGTTCGTCATGTAATGCAGAAGACTTTGTGAAAAAGCTTGAGTTCATTCATCTAACCACCTACACCCACAGTATCTCCACTGTGGTAGATAGTGTTGCCAACTTTGTCACTATTCATGAAATGAGGGACAAGAGGTGGCCTGCTGTTTTAAGCAATTTGTCATAATGATAGCTAAACTCTTAATTAAATATTAATACATAACTATATGCCATGGCAACATACGATAGGTTTAATAAAAAGAATCCTTTAATGGAACCATTACCTGTTACCTTTACCAATTGTCTAATACAAAAAAAATTGTTACTCCCGCACAGTAGGTTTGAACAAGTTATCCCATTCATGTGACAAACTAAAAACTACATAGCTTCTTTATGCTGTAACTTTACTATTAGTATAAAACAAAACACTTGTGATGTGTTTTATTTCCAGCTCATGCCTTTCCTAGTGGCAGAAAAAAAAAACCCCAAATAAGCCAAAAAAGCAACACAAGTGAGGAAAATTGTTTTCAACAACTCAGAGCTCATGTATTTAAACATGTTTAGATTGACCACTTTAAAGGGTCTGTTAACCTAAATTCTAAAAGGACATGTTTCTTTTCGTGATATACAGCCAGGCAGATGGCTTTTGGTTAACTCTGTACAGGTCAAACTTAGGAGATTTCTGCTTCTGACACTGTTCAATGGAGGGGAACTGAATTTCATTTGTGGTGGTAACAGCACATTCAACAGAAAAATATTTTTCCAGAAGCAGTGTCCTCCCCATTAGTCTGAATAATCCACACAGTCAACACTTTTCTTTGCTTGGTATAAAGTAGTTCCAATTGTAGTGTCCAGTGCTTGTGCTTTTGGCTCATAACAGTTCAAAATAGCACTGTAGCAGCAGGACAGAGGGTCAGTGACCTTCTACGGGGAGAGCAGTGATTGGTGGTTATGTAGGGACTGAACCCTTCTATAGAATTTGACCTCTAACCCCTTGTTTTGTTACCTCAGAATAGCACTGTACCCTTCTATGGGTCTGACCTTTTATTTTGCAGACCCATGCTATGGTACCTAACAGATACCTAAACATATCCTATATAAGCTTTGTTTGATGTACAGAGAGACAGAGTGGCCATCGGGCTGGGTCACTCTCCAAGCTGCTGCAGAGCTTGTAATTGATGCTGAACTCCTTGATGTAATAAACTTTTATGATCAAGAACAGTGTCAAGCGGGTTTCTTCTCAACACATCATCGCAGCATTATTGTTTGGACACCACAGAATCTAAACTGTTCAGGGTGAGCACCACAAATGAAATTCTATTTTTGTATTTTAGGTGGATTGTAATGAGCACTGTAGCCTCTAGGGGCTGCTATCATGACTTCAGGCCTTGAGTCTGAATGGAAATGATTACACAAAATAAAATAAGACGCAGAATCGAGCAACATCTTCTTTCCAGGCATGATTTATTGAAAACACACCAAATTTATACTCTACAAACCAGTATTTTTCCGTTATGTTTCACAAGCGTAATATTTGCCTCTGGGTATTAGTAAAATTAACATAATACATTCTGTCACTGTGGCATCGCTTCTGCTCGCTACGAAAGCATTAACAACTTCACTCCTCTAGGAAATCAAAACCATGTTTTCGATTGAATCTACCTTTTTAAAAGTTTATAATACAACGTAATACAAGGCAGAAACCCACCAACAGTCTAAACTACTTCGGGTTGGGGGGTGCAGGGTGAATGAAAGAGTTGAGTAGAGGAAAAAGGGAGGAAGAGTGACACAGGAGGAGAAGGGGGGTGAAGTGAACAGACAGGATGGACAGATGACAGTTGAAAGGGGGCAATAAAGTTATATAAAACACACATCTTTATCTACCATGGAAAAGGTTAAGGCACATGATAGGTACAAACACATCTGCTACTGAGTAGTACAGTTACTTTATTTTGACGGTCTTGGATCAGTTATATCTACACAGGTAGGTTTGTTTGATTCGATGTGTGTCCGTGTCCTGCATTTATTTTACAGCACAGTCGCTTGGCTCTTTGTTTTGTAAATGTACAACGCGCTGCACATCCACAAAACCAAATAAAACCCCCGTTTTTGAGTGCATGTAAATACAACTCCAGATCCTTTGGTTGTGGTGCTGCAAAGCGCAGTCAGGAATAGACAGTCATATGGGTCTTTGTTGCAAGGGTTCAGTATTGTCCAATGAAAGCACACACTTCTGAGGACACACAAAAGGGATGCTGGGTATTATTATAACTTTTTTTAACCTCTGGAATTAAAATGTATACAGTAAGTTTTTTTGTAGTTTATTAATTTTTACCACAACGTACATCTTTGTAAACACTGTGTAAAATATGCAAGCTTTATAAAGTCACATACGCCACAAAGAAAAATCAGACTTCAATGCAGGCACATGCCGTTCGCCTTGATGACGCATGAGTGATACCAACTTGGATTGAATTCTCTTTCTGTCTCCCGTCCACAGTGAATCAGAAAGGCAGAAGCCAGAGAGGAAACTGTACACATCATCTCTAGATTTTGTGTGTATCCTCTCAACAAACAAGAGAAACATGTCAGTATGATTCTGTCTCTCTCTGCTTGTCAACTGCCTACCCTACAACGTTGTAAAAATATATACTATATGACCAAACTTGATGTTTTGTTTTGTACAGTGCGATGCAACTCTTTTATTTTGCTTTGAACATCCAGATCCACTGGTAACCTGTACGCTCTTCCTGCACATGAATGAATTAGTTAATATCCAAATGACACCACAAAAAAACTGGCACTTGGAAAGAATAGAATATAAACATCTGTACAGTTTTTCTTCATGCTCACGATTGAATATTTCTCTTTAAGATGCACTGGTGAAGGGGGGATTCAGGGTTGGCGGTAACTTGATCTGAATGCATCGGGAAGAAAAATGAAGGGACTTCTATTCTGTTCTTTAACATCCGTCTGACCGCTGACCCCTCCAGACTGTCTCTTTTGAAGATGCAGGGGCTGTCAGACAACATGTCTTTCATCGCCTTCAGAAAGAACACTGCAGATAAACTTTGTTTCTGTAACTTTTTTTTGACAAATACAAAATATAAATAGGTGATCGCCGGCGTAACTCGACAATATTTGACACACATTTAAGTTACGTGGTTATTTCTTGTTTACAAACATAGTGAGCCTTTATCAAATGACATGTGCTTTCCAAACAATGTGATATTAACATACAACTAAGAAGTCTGTAATTTTTGTCGAGTTTTTGTTCCTTCATTTTTCTGTTTTTTTTTTCCTTTTCACCCTTATATACATTTATATAAAACCCAACAAAAATAAAAAAAGTCCTTTTTAGATCTATTCTTTCAACAAGAGTAACAATCTTTTGCCTCTCTTTTCAAAAACACAAATCATTTATAAACAAAATGCCTTATATCCTCTTTAATACACATCATTGACAACCAGCTAGGAGACTTGCTACACAACCCGAGCGGTTACACAAGTAACCACAGCTGTGTGAGTGATGGTCAACATGTCACTCGGCCCCTGTTGATTAAAAAGAACGTTTCATTTCCATTTTAGATTCTGCGATGCAGCACGAACAGAAACCGACACTCCATCTGATGTACGCACTATGTCACGTTCCTTTCTCTAGACCTCAACTTGCAAACTCCTCACTTTATACACTGGACATCAATCACTCTAATTTCAAAGTATCTCAGTGCGCTTACTTTTTTTTTTTTTGAAATAACACAGTGAACCAAATAACTTGTAAGTGAATGAGACCAGACTGCTGTGAGTACATGTTTATCCATTATGCTACAGCTCTTCTCAGGCCCAGTTTATCTCTTTTCCTTTTCCTTTCTTGTGTCCATCCCACCAATCTGAAAACATTCAGTGACCTTCAAACACACCAGTCCATACCTGTTCACATCAAAATACCAAACCTACAACCATGTAAAAAATCTCAAAAACCCACAAAATTGAGGCATGAACTTCTTCCAGATGTGCAAACTTCCCATTTTGTCTCCTTCAGGTTTCTGTCAAAAACACTTTCAAACTCCTTTTCCATTCACTTCCTTCATCTCGCTTTTTTCCCCGCCCTTCATAAGTCCATTCCTTCACCAGCACCGGCCTCTGTTCGTTTCTTTTCACCGGTAGACCTCAACAAGAGTCAACACTGTAAAATTCACATAATGTCCAGTGGGAATGTAGATATGAGAAACTAGTAGGAGTAGTCACTTTTTATCGTTTTTTTTCTTTAATTCTGAAAAGCATGAGGACGCTGGCTGCTGCTGGGTTGTCGCTGTTGAGATTTTCATTTATTTTTTAATCCTCTTTTCTGTACAAAGTCCAACTCCAAAGATGAGCTCCATGTGAAATGGCAGTGGTGATATGAGAGATCCTCCTCTAGCTGGGGTGTTGCGCTGTCGTTATTTTAAGCCTGAAGCAGGTGGACAAGAGAGAAATATTAGAGGAACTACAAACATACAGTCATTGTATGGTCATTGAAGAGTTTCAGTTTTAAATGCTACACAGCCACTGTACAAAAGAAATGACAACAATCATGGCAAATAATAACGTCAAAACTACATAACAGTGATATAAAGGAAAAGGTGGCATTATTCTATGGTTTTTGCTGCTGTCAAAAAATCACATTAAAAGACCAAAACCAACACTGAGGTTTAATTTTGTAAAGCTGTACAAATTATTTTTTTTTATTAACAATGGATTCAATGACTCAATTTAAAGTGAAAGGGGTTGCTTGCTGTGACAAACCCAGAGTATAATCACCCGACTATGTATCTCCCCTCAGCTCTATGGAGCATTTTACCATCATTTGGCTCATTGTTTTGGTTTTCTAGTCCACAACTTTGCAGGCAGTAGAGCCCAGCTGCTTTAAAAGCTCTTTTAACCCACTGTATGCTACCTGCCCAGCACCAAACAGCAGACAGAAACTTAACAACTAGCTGGTGGCATTCAGAAGCTAAAGAGCTGGATATTTCCCTCAGCAGTTGGTAGAGGCCAAAATAGAGCTAAAAGGTATCCGATTACATTTGCCAGGTGGCCAGGAAGAGGACTTCAAATGAATGTCAGTGTTGCTGCATGTCTGCTGGTGGTGTAAATAGTTAAGTGTTTTGCTAACACTGAGTAACTTTCTAAAGCTGTAATATGTCAAATGTGATCTTCAGTTTGTTGTGGAGTTCTGTCCAAATTTAAAAGGTGATTTGATATATTATGTCTAGTCTTTACATCCATGTCACCTACAACATTTCAAACAGGAATGAATAGTGCATTTTTTGAGGTCTATGTTCAGCTGCAGATTAACACACATTTGGCATGTGGTGACTGGATGTCTATGACAGAGAGAGAAAGGATATACTGTTTTTGATTTTGGTCTTTTCATGAGATTTGCTGAAAATAAGGATCCCTTTGAATATCACCAGTGTTTTCCTTAAACATTTCACACAAAAATGTATTTTTTTTAAAGTAGGAACCACATTTTGCCATCAGTGATTATTAATTTAGAACGAAACTCTCCAGTTGTGCTTTCGTGTCAGACAGGAAGACAATCAGTTGGTAAAATCACATCACTGTCAACAAATCATGCCAGTCCAGATGGCAAATGGAGACAAGAGACAGCAAAACAGATGCTTAATGTCCCGGTTGAAATCCTGCATATGTTAAATGGAGTGAAAATTACTTACCTGATGGTTTTTAATATTACCTATAATATCTGTTTTACTAAAGTGCCAAAATGACAATGAACACCACAAATCATACCACTGTGTCTCTTAAGAGTCGTCCTGTGATGTGTTTCCTACATCAGTGAAATGGATGGAGATGAAAGAATTGAATGCATGGCCACTGACAAAGATGACTAAGATAAGAAAATGACGATGAGGAAGACAGTGAGGTCTGACAAGAGGCCTCTGGCAAAGAAGAGTACGACAGCAGTGAGGAGGAGGCAGAAGGAGATAAACGCTACTGGCAGATTAATGACAAGTACTGAAGCTCACCCAGATCAGCTTGCAGCTTTACAAAAGTCATTCAGTGGGACAATAAATTGTGGATGAGTTTGAGAATTCAGTCAAACACCGTAGGGCAAACAGTCACTAATGCACTGTAAATAAAATATATACAAGCTTAAAGACATGACTAATTTATTGACTTGTGTAACAAACTGATTCTACTGTTGCCTTACAGCTAAAGTAAGGCATGAAAAACCAAGAAACCAAGAAAAATGGAAAACAAGAAGAAACTCAGCTGCTCGTGAATGCAGGAGGATGTTCTGACAAAAACAAAAATTTCAAACTTTCAACAGAAAGCCTTCGTTACATTTGAGGGGTTTTAGTTGTAGCTCTAATTACTGAAACAGATAAAAGCTTTCTGTTTAAATACATTTGAGTTTCTCCACAAAAAAAAAAAAGACATTTTAAGAAATCTCTCAACCACAAAGAGAAGCTTAAATTCTTTCTTTCTGTAATTTACGTGGAAATATGACTAATATATATATGTCTAAGTTACATAATGTGCCACTTAGTAAACATTTATACAATGAATTTTTTAGCACAACATATTTAAATCAGCTACTTTAGATCTCAAAATGTATGTAAACTGAATTAATGTGAGCCCACTCTCCATTACATCTCTGCCTTTTACATATTATATTATGTGTGAGTCGATAATGAGAATTTGTGCGCGTACACATTATAAGTGCTGGCTTCCATCATCAACTTATCAACTTACATGAAATATTTATCTGAAGTCATCTTGCATTGACCAAAGAAACTGTGCGTATGATGAGTGCAGACAGAGAAGAGGTTTTCTGTGAGTGTGTGTACGTGCATGTGCATATCTTTTTCTTTCCCTCTACTGCTTTTCATTAAGGGGATAACTGAGTCCTTGCAGCATCTATCTGAAGTGCAGAAGAATGATTCCCCATCATCATTTGCCACCAATTTCAGCAAAGGCTGCCAGGGGAAGCAGTGAGTGAAGCTAGGCGTACATTTAAATCAGACGGGTGGTGCTGAATTGTAAACAGAGACCACAGCCTGTGTACTGAGTATTACAAAGTGGAGTCAATTTGATTGTTGCAAAATTTAGGCGTTGCAGTAGTAAAATAGCAGTTGCAATATTAAGGTTCACTAAGCCCTGCCCTCCTTAGTAACTGTTTCTACACATACCTTCACGCACATCACATTGTGCTATATATACACTCACCTAAAGGATTATTAGGAACACCATACTAATACTGTGTTTGACCCCCTTTCGCCTTCAGAACTGCCTTAATTCTACATGCCATTGATTCAACAAGGTGCTGAAAGCATTCTTGTTGAAATGTTGGCCCATATTGATAGGATAGCATCTTGCAGTTGATGGAGATTTGTGGGATGCACATCCAGGGCACGAAGCTCCCGTTCCACCACATCCCAAAGATGCTCTATTGGGTTGAGATCTGGTGACTGTGGGGGCCATTTTAGTACAGTGAACTCATTGTCATGTTCAAGAAACCAATTTGAAATGACTGGAGCTTTGTGACATGGTGCGTTATCCTGCTGGAAGTAGCCATCAGAGGATGGGTACATGGTGGCCATAAAGGGATGAACACGGTCAGAAACAATGCTCAGGTAGGCCGTGGCATTTAAACGATGCCCAATTGGCACTAAGGGGCCTAAAGTGTGCCAAGAAAACATCCCCTACACCATTACACCACCACCACCAGCCTGCACAGTGGTAACAAGGCATGATGGATCCATGTTCTCATTCTGTTTACGCCAAATTCTGACTCTACCATCTGAATGTCTCAACAGAAATCGAGACTCATCAGACCAGGCAACATTTTTCCAGTCTTCAACTGCCCAATTTTGGTGAGCTCTTGCAAATTGTAGCCTCTTTTTCCTATTTGTAGTGGAGATGAGTGGTACCCGGTGGGGTCTTCTGCTGTTGTAGCCCGTCCGCCTCAAGGTTGTGCATGTTGTGGCTTCACAAATGCTTTGCTACATACCTCGGTTGTAACAAGTGGTTATTCCAGTCAAAGTTGCTCTTCTATCAGCTTGAATCAGTCGGCCCATTCTCCTCTGACCTCTAGCATCAACGAGGCATTTTCGCCCACAGGACTGCCGCATACTGGATGTTTTTCCCTTTTCACACCATTCTTTGTAAACCCTAGAAATGGTTGTGCGTGAAAATCCCAGTAACTGAGCAGATTGTGAAATACTCAGACCGGCCCGTCTGGCACCAACAACCATGCTCAAAATTCTTTCCCATTCTGACATTCAGTTTGGAGTTCAGGAGATTGTCTTGACCAGGACCACACCCCTAAATGCATTGAAGCAACTGCCATGTGATTGGTTGATTAGATAATTGCATTAATGAGAAATTGAACAGGTGTTCCTAATAATCCTTTAGGTGAGTGTAAATATATATCAGAGGTCACATGCCTCTTTAGCAACTAGGGCTTAAGTGTCTTTCTCAGGGACACATTGGTATGTCACAGTGGACTTCTCTCACACTAAAGGCATGTTGTGCAGTTTACGATATTAACGGGGGCAGATTTATCTCTTGAAATTCTAAAACAATGGGTTCTTTATTCAAAACATAGGTATACAACAGCTATTGTGTATCTTCTCATTTCTAGCCTGATTGTCGCTAAGAAATTTTATTAGCAGTAGCTAGCTAAGTTAAAAACGATGCCACTGGTGGATTTTCTAATAATGTGCTTAGCTGACTCCCTTTAAGACTCTTTTAAAAGGGGGCCAAGAAATGAAATAATGCTAAAAGACTGAGGCCAAAGCTGCCTGTCCCAGAAAAACAGTTAGCTCCATCAGCAGCCGATGAGCTTGTTTGTCAGCTGTTATATCTAACATAGTGTTTCCGCTTCGCTACTAATGTACTGCGCTGGTTAGACGGGCATGGCAACGACTCAAGCTTACAGATAAACACACACCAGTCTTTACACTTTTTCTCTTGTGGTTTTGGGGGGAAAAAAACACTACAACCTGTTTAACTAGATTATCACTCGTGCCTCTACTCTGTGCAAACTGCTTCATCATGTGGACAGATCTAAAGCTTGACAGGCCTTCTGTGCCTACTTACGATTGCTAAGGCTATGAGTGAACAGTCGCCGTTTAAGATAGGTGTTTGGAGAACTTTCAATGAAAGAAAAGAAACAAAAAAGGAATCCAACCCAAGGAAACTGTTTCACTGGGACCGTGACATCAAAGTTGTGATTGTCAGTGTATTTCAGTGTCTGCAACATAATGTATGGTTTTACCTTTAAAAAACACAAATTTAACAGGCATTTTCATATAGATTAAAATCTTGCTTTTTTAGATCTACATGTAAAAAAAACTGTTTGCAGGATTATTCCTGTCTCAGATAGATTATGGTGATATCATTTATCAATTTGCATGTCCATCTGCATTGTCAAAGCTAGACCATCTTTATCAAGCGGCTCTCAGGTTCATCACAGATGCTGGCTATCACACACATCACTGCATCTTATACAGTATGGTAAATTGGCCATCACTTAAATTACGCAGGATGCTACACTGGTACATTTTCATTTATAAAGCCATTTTAGGTCTTTTGCCTTCTTGTATTTGTTTAAAGTTTTCTCACATGCAAAGTACATTTCATTTAAGATCTAGTGAGGGACTACTTTGTAAGGTGCCAAGAATGAGGACAGAAGCAGGAAAGAGGAGTCTGTATTGCTATGGCCCACCGTCCTGGAATGAACTCCAGTCTAAGTTTAAGATTGGCACGCCTGTTTCCTTAGCTGCTTTTAAAAAAAGAATATCAAACATTCTAACAGACATATGCACTTGTTTTAATTAACAGTAGTTAGATCTCTACATTTAGTCTTTTTAATTTTGTTTGTTTACATATTTAACTCATTAACGCATTTTTGTCTATGTAAATATTTTGTACATTTTGTGTAAATTGTTATTGTATTTTATTTTAATTTCCATAATGTATTGTTTCTCAACTTATGGTTGTAAACTTGTGTTTTACTTGTGCTATACAGGACTCCATTGTAAAAAAGATTTTTAAATACTGGTTTATATATATATTTATGAAATCTTACATAAAAATCTCAAATGTTTACACCTTAAAAAGTCATTTTCAATTGAACTGTAATTAAATTTCCATGAAAAGAACAAGGTGACTTCTCCAGCTGACTGCTCTGGGTGCAGGGTGACAGCAGGTCTACATGATACAGTGTGAGGGTGAAAGGAACACAGGCGGAAACGATGAACAGACAGGGAATGAAAAGGATGCTACAATCCAACCCAAGGCGTAAAGGTATGCTATTTTTTTTATTTTTCAGACCTACCATGCATGCATTTAGACCCAGGAGTCAACAGGCTGGGGCTTAACATCACAAGCGTCCACCAGACTGACCGCAGGCCTGTTACTCCTGATATAGTGTTTCCTATTTGTGTCATTCTGTGGCCAGAGGGGGACGGGTTAAAAAACACAGCAAAACAAAAAGAGGTCAATACATTTCACAAATACAGCACGCACACACACACGCAAGCACACACACACACACACACACACATATGTATACAGGATCAGAGAAGCCAGTGTTAGCTCCCTGCCTTAAGGAAAGCTTGGAAAGAAGTCAGAGTGATTACAAAACAGCATTCCAAACCATGCAAATGAAAGAGGGAGAGAGCAGTTTTAACGGCCAAGTTGCATTCAAAGCAGGCAGAACACCTCTGGGAAGTATAGACAGCAAACTCAGAAGACAGGTTTGGAGCAACGCTAGGAGATCTGTACACTCTGAAGACAACAACAACATGGCTGTTTGCTATGATTACTTCCGTCTGTGGCGTCTGAGCTGGCTATGGTATATGCCTTTACAACATGTGACAGTAAAACTTTAGCTCTAACTGGTTTAATAGTCTATCTAAAATACATGTATTATGTATTCATAAGCTGTGCACGGAGAGGATGCTCTTCTTAAACAAAGTTGCAATAATTCTTAAAAAGTAAACTTCCATTTTAGCTTTGTATCTGAGGGCAATGTTTTTCTCAATGCAAACATACCGACATCATTTCAATGTAGAAAAGAGATCAGTTACAATAAAAATAAAAACTGTTGGAGTAACTAACAACACCAGATGAAAATTGTTTGAAACTGTTTATGCAGACCTCCAGTGGTGTAACTTCTTAAATTATACAAGTTAAAGAAAAAGAAACTTCACGTTTAACTCTGGGGTCGACAATTTAATTAGCAGTATTTGTTGAAATCAATAAATCAAATGCTCTGAAAACAAACATGAAAAATATATCTGGTATCTGTGGCGGGACTGTAACAGGCACGTCCATGTGCACTGCGACATCAGTGTTGGGTGTGGTTACAGCTGCAACAAAGCACACTGCTGACAAGCCAAATAAACAAAATTTAAACTTTCAAATTGGGGGAACAGTGAAACATTTCTTTTCAGCCTGTTGTTAAGTTCCACTCTAAAGAAAACAAACAAGAAAATTATGAAATGCAAAAACTAAATGCTCCTCTCCCAATATTTTCACATCTAACTCTGTTAATTAAGGGTTTATTACTAACCAGAGTTGGTGGAGTTAGTGGAAAGTTTTATTTTATTTCTGCTGAGTTAAAATGAAATACGATAAATCTGCAAGGTAAAATTGCTGTTACTGTTATTGGCTGTTGAATGGTTAGAAAAAAAAGGACCTTTCTCTTTAACAAAAAGCTCTATCTCTTTAGGGTCCTTTCCATAATGTTGGAAGACACTTCTAATAACAATCTGAGCCTGCCAGTGGCAAAAACAAACAATTTAGTCGACATACATTGACGTTGCTAAAAGGATTACATTGCAGCTCTGTTTCGCTGCTGCCAGCTGCTCAGTACTGGAACATTTCAAAAATTGTTGTCCACATCAGTCACTTGGACACAAATACTTAGGAAAATCAGGTCCAGGTTGATACCTAACTCTGCTACAGACATCATTTCCACCCTCAATTTTTAAGAGTTAGTTTTAACCTGCATGGAGAAGCATATATATGACCATAAATCTAAAGAGACATACGCTAAACTGACTTTAATGGATTATATTGCATTCATTTTACAATCCCACAGGGATCATCCTTTTCATCTAGCACTACAGTAGATCAAAAGTAAACTACAAAAAGTACTTGAGAGTCCTCTGACGCATGTCAGACATCCTCGGAGGCTATTATCCTGTGACTCCTCTTTGAGGCCGGATTGCCAATCAGCTCAGCAATAAACAAACTTTGGCTGCAGTGTGAAACGGCTGTATAATCAGCAAGCGACCACTTGATAATGCAGCAGTCTGTTCATTGCCAAGGCAAGGGTCGTCTCCATGAGGAGCGGTTGTTGGCGGTTCTTTTAATCAGTCTCAGATTAATTACTTTACAGACACCAAAAGCTTACACTCAATTAACTGGAGGCTTGCAGATCTGAGGCTGTCCACAGCGCTGAGCTGTGGCGGGCAGCATTAACAGAGAATGACAACTTCCAGCCTCTTTAAAGAATCAATAGGATTAAGAGCTTCTAATGAGGACCACCACAGAAAACATGAAGAGAGAGGGAACGAGAGAGACATAGAGGGAGAGAACATTTTCAACGACACATCATTATTTCATCCTCTATGCCCCGATCCCCCAAAAGACCAGAAGAGGTCTGCCTGTACCTTTAATGGCTCCCGTTCTGTCAGGTCCACTGTGCCGTCGCCTGCTTTGTATTTGCAGTCCTTGTCCCTCTGGTCAATGGTGGAGTAACCATCTAATGGGGTCAGAGAACAGCGGTCAGCTAATTCCTCTCCGTTCTCATTTAAAATCAAACAGTGGCAGCTCGTGTTTTAACCTGTGTGGAGTGACAGACTGAAAGGTTTTCTGCACTGGAACACTTACGAGAGTCCCAGGAAGTTGTTGGACACTTAAAAGTAGAATAAACATGCCTCCACATTCGTATCTTGTGCTTGTCCAAACTTTCTGGCGCTCATGTTATTTACCACCACAGTGGGTTTAAAACAAACTATATGAAGTACCTTCACGCGGTATTTGACCTTGTCCTCATAACCGTCTTTAAAAATGCACTCTCACATATTCCAGCTCAGAGCTGGTATTTATTAAGCATCACACCAGAGTAGGAAATCAGCCCTCACTGCCCAAAACCTCTCGTGACGCATAAGGCATTTGGTTTTACTCTCAGACTTAAGAGTTTAAGCTTTTTATCAACATTTTTAACCTGAAAAATGACTCCTATCATAAAAATATTTAGCAGAGCTCCAGAGGTTTCATGACCTGATAGGAGTCGCCAAAGCATGGCATTTAGAGACATTCATGGATGACAATGAGACCATTAAGAGAGTGACTGATCTTGTGTGAGATGCAAAAGAAAACACATGCATTCTTCACAAACCACCTCTCAACATCACAGCGACAGGGAAGATGTAGCTTTGCAAAAGTAAAGATTTGGGTCTGTTACCACCAAGGTTATTAACGTTAACAAAGACGAACGAAATAACGAAAACTAGATGTGAAAAAACATTGTCGTTAACTGAAATAAAAATAAAAACGAGGATTTACAAAAAAAAAACATAAACTAAAACTGCATTGTAGGTTTGCAAAACTAACTAAAATGAAAGAATAAATGTCCTTAGTTTTCGTTTATTTATTTATTTTACAGGACCTAACAAGCCTGCATTTCGAGTAGATATATGAAGCCGGGGGAAATAATGTTCCGGGGGAGTTGATCTGGCTGGACCGGCAGTTCAGCGGTGCGCGCGGTGATTAGCCTTTAGGCACTGTTGATGAGCCGCGGGTGTGTTATGATTTTGTCCTCCGCGTGAAGAGCTGGCATGCTGCGTGTCCGTCAAGAGAGCCCGGGGTCAGGGCGGCATCTGGCCACAGTGCTCATCCTGCGTGTGGGATAAACTTGCCCATTGATTGTGAGCTCCCCTTGTGCTGGGTTAATGTGTCTGCTGCTCATTATATTTACTGCATGTCAGCTAGTGTGTGTTGTTTTATGGGCTCACAGATATCTTCACATTGTTTTAATATCTATTTTTTGATTAGGTTAAGAGTTTAATATAACTCCAGGGCGCTAGAGACCTCTTGTTTGTGGCTCCAAGGGGGCCTCCACTATCTTCCAGTTTCTTAGCTGTCTATCAATTGTATTTCACTTCTATTTATTGTATTTCACCTATTTAACCAAGAATGACAGAGCTAGAGACTGATGTTTGAATTTCTTAGGACCACTGGGTAGTAGGATTAGGGTAGTTAGCTCTTTTTTCTGTATGTAGGTTAGAAATTATACTGTAGATTGCATGTGCTTCATTTATTTGTAGTATTTATTTCGACAATGTGTTGGTACTTCATATATAAAAGGGTATCTCTTTTCACAAATACTTCTGATTGTACTTGTATTTTAATGTTTTGTGAAAAAACTAAACTGGACTGAACTAAACTGAACTTGGCATTGTGTAGTGACAAAGACTACAACTAACACTAAAACTACTAAAAACTAAACTAAAACTAAGCATTTTCAAAAAATAAAAAATAAACTAGCACACCCACGTTGAAAAAACTAATTAAAACTAAATTGAAATTGAAAACAAAAAGTCAAAACCTTAGTAAAAACTAATGAAAAATCTAAAGCTATTATAATCTTGGTTACCACCAACAATTTCAGCAGTAATAAATCAAACTTTGATCACTTGTACAGCTCCTCAGATAATGCGCATATTCATTTATTAGTGCGGCACTCAGCTTGAAGTGACTTTATAACAATCATGGGGTTATTTATTTACTGATTCATTAATTCATTCATAATAACAGCAACACTATTACAATATCTGCATGTTGTTAGTGTGTATTTCTCAACACTGGGTGAGACTCAAATCATTTTTTCCCATCTGTAAGGTTGCATAGGTTAGCGGGGGGTGTAGCAATATCATCGCTGAGTGTGCACAATCCCTGCAAAATGTGCCGCTAATATTGGCATGTTAAAACAATGTGATTGGATAGAGCTGTATAGGAAATGTCATACAGCTCAGTCAAATCTCTATTTTAAACTGCATATACATTTATATGCATATATTGGTATATATGGTGATGGGGTAGAGGAGGATATTCATAAAGAAATTCAAATTTTGCCGCTGTTCAATATTTCAAACAGCAGAAAACTACAATATGTCATCCTAACTTTGACTTAACAGCTCTGATTGTTGTAAAACAGCAACATCACATTCTCTCCTGGGAGTCCCTCTCCTTGTTGAAAGTTACCGTAGGAAGCTTTTTACACGTCCTACTTTATGGTAGAAGTGTTTTTGGTCCTAGTTTAGCTTTCAGCACTATTCCTAGGAGGGATTCTTTGCCGCTTGATTAATATGGGCCCAGGGGTTTAAAGGAACACAAGATATACCCAAAGGTTATTCCTTCATGACAAAAATTCTTGTTCTATATATCACCCAAAGAGTCACACAATTCTCAATTTCATGAACGTAAGTTGCATTTCTTTATTTTTAAACAGCAGCAGGATTATTTACTTTGAAAGAAGCACAGCAGAGGAACAATAAGACTAAATATATTGAAGTGGAGAACCACCCACATCTTTTGGAGATAACGAAGGTCCAGCTTTGTACAAACATCTTGTTAAGAGAGGGGTCTTGCATTCAGCATCAAAGAGCGTCAAGTCTGTAGCTCTGTCCAAAGCCATCATACCGAGATCAGAGTGTTTGAATTTTCAGATTAAAAATAACATCTTGGCAGCGGGTAAAGAACTAGTAGAAGAGAAGTCGAATCAAATAAGACACTATTGGACACTGGAGAGAGATTAGAGGAGAGCTAGCTCCAGCTTGGCTAAGGACGATCATGCAGGATGGCTCTTACCTGGACCCAGCTCATCCATAGGTATCATATCACCACTGCCACATTTCCTGGTGCCTGAAAAGCATTCATATGCCATTTGTACAAAAGCGGCACACACACACGCTGAGTCACTGAGCCAAAACGCTACTGCTTTTCAGGGTAATGGTTCTCGGCCAGTGATTGAATAATGCAAACTGAGAGTGGGCAGGCATGAGTGCCGCGATTCATGTGCATGTATGGATGCAAAAAGAAAAAAAGAAAAATGGGGCACAAGGCCAAAAATCAGGACATTAAACTGCTGCTATGCTATTGACTCCTCTGTCAAAGAGATGTTTGTAGTTGGGCCAATGTACTGCACAAGTCCCCCGCCCTCCCCCACATATACTGCTGCTGTTAGAGAAAACCTATTCCAGTTTTTTGATTGTGGACACAGCTATACACACTTACTTAAGGGAGGGTACATTTTCATTATCTCCGACCCTATTACGTCAATTTATAGCCCACAACTGAAAATAAAACAGTTCAGCATCTAAAATAAGGACATTTCTTTTAAACTTTTTGAGGTTAGAAGGTTTTGGTTCAGCAGCAGCAGTATGCTGCTCCAAGCTCCATCTCCTCTTTTGTGTTCTTTATTTTTGAGCCCTATAAACGGCTTTATTGCAACATATAACACACTTCACCACACAGAGGATGAGAGCAGTAATGTGGCAGCTCTTCAATGTAGCCATGAGACAAAAAAAGACATGTCCTCAGCAAAGTGGACACACACAATCACACGCTGTTTGCTTTTCAAGTTAGTATTTCGTTTGAACCTGCCTGGAGGACGATACGGGTGGGATACGCCATGTCAGAACTAATTTTAATGAACCATTTGTAAACTTTACTCTGACTTGCATTTGCAGTACCTGAACTGTGTCGTGCACGGCTAGTTAAAGAATGAGTCTGGCGATATTCGATATTATACTTACTTATTATCCCATGAAAAGACCAAAACTAACCAATGAATTAATCCTACTCACAAGTGCAGTCTGTGTAGCTGAAGTCTGATATATCTTATTTGTCTCTGTTACAGAGACGGTGACATGTTGCTTCATTACGCTGAACATGGACACTGTGGTTAATTTGAGTCAGTGCCATAAGGACTGTCCAGCAGCTGAAAATAATGCTCATTAGAGCCATTTAGGACCCAAAAATGCACCATTTACTTAATATTGAGAAACATTTGCTAAAAACTACAGTGACCAGCTAGTTTAGGAAATTCTTAAATCTGTTTTTAAAACTGGAATTTAATGTGAGTACCACAGACAGGGCATGAAATTTAAAAAGTCTTGAGAGGCAAACTCAATTATTTTTGGTTTCGATCTTTTCAAGGGATTTGTTTACACTAACAACACGCCAGAATAACGCCAGCCTTATCCTTTCAATTAGGCCCTGGACCCCCATGTGGTCTCAAAACTCTAGTGAATCATATAATAGTGACATTTAAGTCTCATTTTGCTGGGGAACCCCTGACATCTTCTCTACCTTATCCCACCCACTTGGTCCTCTAAACAGGTGGAAACAGCAACAAGCACAAACGCACACCCACACACTTGAAACTAACCTTGGTTCTTCTCCATCAGGGGTAAAGTGGTGTCATCGTAGCCTGGCTTACCGTTCTTGGTTGCTTTAGGGGTGGCTGTCACCGTGGGCTGAGAGAAGAGGCAGAGCAAGCAGCATGTGAACGCAGCATCAAACAGAAACATGTTGAACACAGAGAATTCATTCACTCTCTTAACGCTGGGTTAGGGTTAGATTCTTACCATTTAACATGCTGACAGACTAAAACAATGTGTTAACATCAATTGTCTGTGTAATTCAACAGAATATAATGTCTGTAATGAGTGTCTGTAAGTAATGTCTTAATGTTAGAAATCCATTAGTACGTAGTAATACGCATGCTGCATTTAAACATTTAGTTGCAGGAGATATATCTCCCTCTAGAGTGACTAATGATGCTACTAATGTAGCAATGTAACTTAGTGGGACACTTCATTAATAGCAAAGTGGTTCTTCTCAGATTGTTGTGTCTCTAAATGAACCTGATATTACATAATAACACTTAGGATCCAGATTATATATGAAGGATAATCTCCACATCATTACAGTTCTGTACCTGGAAGTGGCTCTTGTTCCAGCCGTCCTTGGTTAAAGCGTTCCTCAGCTCCTTATAACTCCAGACCGTCTGCAGCACGTGGGACGCCGCCTTCGTTTCGCGAGCCGATTGGCTGCGGGGGCCACAAGAAGGAGGAGACACATACAGAAATAACAACAGCAATTAAAGTCAGAAACCTCATCCGACCTCCTAAACAGTGGGTATGCTAGCACGCTGCTGCAATCAATCTCTTCATTCAGTGGTGCTGAGTCCCCTGAGTGGCTCCAGGGTCTAGTTTTTAATTCATAGCCAGATGAGTGCACATTTCCTTTCATTAGCTACCTCTGAGCCACCAGTATTAATTACATGTGGGTGGTGGCCTCACTTCAAAGAAAGCTAATTTCATAAGGCTGAGAGGAAACACAACTATTTGGTGTGTGGACGAACTATGTATGTATGCGCTAGTTAGAGTGACTCTCTGTATGATCAATACTTCCACCGCACAAGGAAGAGCCTTTGAAAAGTGCTCTTGATCTTAATTTGAAAGTGTGGTGCAGACGCTCTTCATTTTGGAATGGGTAACATTGTGGTACTACAAGACATCTCCTGAATATCTCCCTTAATAGCTGTTCGTTATCAGGTTGTTGAGGAGATCGCTGGCATTAGAGGCACAACTACTTACTTACTTGTATAAGCAGCAGCTATAACAATGCCCTCATGCTCTAAAAGCCTGTTAATTAATGTGCGGTGGGTGGTGGTTTGTGTGGGCTCAGGCTTGTTAGAGTATAGCATTGTGGTCGCCAAGCTTGGGCCATTAGAGACACATTACATTATCCTCCATGAATACTAATTTAAAGGTCATATTGTAATCATTACATGTATAATGTATCCAGTGTTGAGTGTAAAAAAAGTCTAATTAATACAAAAAACAAAACTGATTTATAGCCATAATTTAATCCAAATATGACAGTCTGCTGGTTTAGATGCATTCCACCTAAAAATGTTGTAAAGCCACATCAATTATATTCACAATACAATATGTGACGTCCTACTAGAAGTCTTACCTTGTCCTGTTGATGGCGACCAGCTTCTCAATGGCCTGGGCCTGGATGAGGGAGCGGGCGTTTTCAGAGCTGTCAGTGACAATCTCATGGATGGTGTTGAGGATGGCGACCACAGTGTCCTCCTCCAGGTTTTTGGCTGGCCGCTGCTGACCGCTGGGCAGGTTGCTCACCAAGTCCCTCATGGCATAACTTCCTGTAAGGTGACAATAATAATAGGGATAAGGGATAATAATCACAATGGAATCATAATATGAAGGAATCTCTCCAAGGGAATAATTATAGTGACCAATAACTCTTTCACTGTACATAAGGGAATGTGAGTTTTGTTTTAAGACAGACTTGCAAACATTAATAATCCACTATATTTGTGTCAATTTGATATAAATTTGTTTTTGATTAAATCTTAAATTTCGGTGGTGCTAATGGTTTGTACCGATCAGGTCCTTGTTGCGGCGGTCAATGGACAGGTTGCGCAGGGCGATGGCCACAGCTCGGACCACCTTGTCAGAGTCGGAGCGCAGCAGCTCCACCAGGATGGGAAGACCTTTCTCCTTACGCACCGTGGCTCGGATGTAGTTGGACCACTGGAGGGCAGACAGAGGGCATGGCTGAGTGAGCGTACACTGTTAGCGACATCCTGTTTGACATTCAGTTAGACCTATAGACTCCCAGCTGGGAGCTGCCCAGCATGACCAAACATCTCTTCTTTTCCACCAAGCTCCACTAGAGGTGTCCAGGTCATCTTCATGACACCAGTCAAGGGAGGGGAGGACATTTTGATATTTGCCTTCTTGCTCACACACAACCCACACATACACACACTCTCAATCAATCAGTCACTGACTACATGATGGCTCAGCCCTGCTCCTTGGGGCTCTGAATGGACATGTGATATAATTTGTCTTGATTTAAACATCAGTAGATTTTACTTGTCATTTTTTGTAAAATAAAACATTAAGTTTGACATAAAAGGGTTTCTTTTCTAAGCACTGGTACCCCAAGAGATGCAATTAAGCAGCTGACAGACACAACTGAACCACCAGGTGGCAGTAGTAAGCCTAAAAACAAGTCAATCCAGAGGTACCTAACTAGACAGTAGCAAAGAATGAGGAGGATTTAAAGAAGAAGCTCTGATACGGAGCAGGGACATGCTTTGTCCAGACGCCAGACGTGACAGTGTGATGGGTTAGTGGCTCCACAGGTTCCTGAGCCTCATCAAGCACTCTGATCAGCTTCAACATGAACAAAATAAAGGAAAGAAGCATTTCTCCTCAAAATGTTCTCCTTAGCTGAAAATCACTACTACTGAATTATTAATACTAAATGTGAGACTGAGGGCTGGGTGTTAACTCTTGAAACTACTAAAATAAAAAGAGTTCAGGTGGGGGGCCTTTCCAATCGTAGGGTATAAAGGCTTGATGCTGCTGATGAATTCAGAGAACTGAAGGATGCATTTACAATCTGCCACATGGGTGTTAAGAGAAACGCTGCTGTGATAATGCTGCCGTGGGCTGAATACAGCCAGCCTGCTGAAAAACATAAGTGACCGCTCCTGCCTGAGGTGCTACACGTAAACTGGCATCTGACAACTAGCCTTCCCTGTTGATAATTCACTGCTTCCTGCACAGCAGACAGCCTCTCAACAGCCTCACGGTTGCTCTAATTGGAATAAATGTCTGATTCTGGCTGAAGAGGTTCTAATATCCTCCATTAGCAGAAGCCAACAGCTAACAGAGATGAAAGTTTGGTTTACGTTAGTTATTTAACCCTTACCTGGTCATGTGATTCCACTTAGATGGAAGGTCCTGGCCAAGAAAGGTAGGTAACAGTGGAAACCTCTTATAGTGATCATATCCAGGTCAAACTGATAAGTGGTAGATTATAACAGATTTTTTTCTTTTTCTTTCTCCCATGCAGATTACCATCTAACTCACATTTTTTTTACATGAATAGAAAGTAACGAAACGGAGAGCTTTTGCCATTTACTGAATTAAACATGGCCAAGCTCTGTCTGGAGGCTCTTATGTTGGGAGAGCAGGCTGTTACGCGCTGTGGCAGTCCCAATACCTTGTACAAATAAGTTACAAGACAGCCTAAGCATATGAGCTTGAAAAAAAGAACACTGTAATCTGACTACTTGATTACTATATGCAAATTATTTAAAGTGCATTTGTATATGAATGATTCTGCCCATGCTTTCCACTGTATCACATTAAAAGATTGAGTTTCAGCTACCTGCTGCATGGTTCAATTGTGTCTCAGTCTTATTTATTTCAGCTTACACAGTTGCTATATGGTTTCCAGAGACTCTGCATCTAGATCTTTTTAAAGTGACTCTAAGCACCTCTGGAGGCAGGTTTCGTTTCCCTTAAAGCCCATCAGACTCTGTATTGCAATCATCGCTAGTTATCTACTATTGAGAGGTATATAAGTTTTTAAAAAAATCTATAAGTCAGACACAACATAGCATATACGTGCTGTTCCCTCCCCAACCCTGGACTCACGGTCCACTGTCCAGCACTGAGGTTTTGCAGAGCCCCAGCAGCGGCCTCCAGGGTGTTGTAGTTCTGGCTCTCCGTCAGCAGAGACAGGTAGAGCCTCACCACTTCCGGCTGATACAGCAGCTCGAAGCCTGCGGGGAAATACAGAGAAGCGCACACACACACACACACACACACACTGGTTACACTCCCTGGGAGACTGACGGGCAAATTAGGCTGTGTGAAGGTGCCGGCAGTCCAGTGCTGAGATTTATCTCGGACCACGGGGGGAGTTCTTTTCTAAGAGGATGCAGGACAGAAGTTTGGGTTTACCATAATGCATGATATCTTTGGTTACACCAGACAGTGAAAATGTCCGCAGTTCCACAGCATACATGGGATGGAAATTCAATTCAGGCTGCAACACCTTTATTGAGACATGCTGGAGCCTAGTATATTCCCTCTCAGTAATACTGAAACATTATGATTGAAAATACTTCAGTGTTATAAATGAGGCGAACACAAGAAGAAGAAATTATTGATCCACAGCCCTCGCCAAACTTAGAGTATTGGAAAGGGAGGTTTATCTCGCTTGCACATTACACATTCCACCACAGTCAATCATTAGGGCCCCCCCTCTGATGGAAACTAATAATTAAATTATCAGCCATTAGACAGGGCAGGCACGAGGAGAGACAGAGGCGTCGAATCACATCACATCAGATTGATTCATCCAGGGTTTTTCTTATTTTACAGGTTTGTGCTTTACAAGGGATCAACAAGTCACAAAACAATTCAGTTAAAATATACAGGCTTCAGAGCGATGATATTTCTTCTGTCAAGGTTATTTTTTAGCTGTTCATATCTCTGGAGGGAGTCACACATTTTTTATGGCAGGATACATCGTACCACCGTAAAGTAAGACATCTCGGCAGCTTTTGATGGCTTGAACAAAACAATTCTTTAGTATTTTGATAATCCTGAAGGAATATTTTGACGACTAGATACGACTAGATGTTCAGGTATAATACTTGTAATTTTGCATCATTAGTAAGTGACAATGAAGCACTCGGCTTCTGATGTAAAATCCATGCTTGGCTGTCATGTCGACAGTCGGTTAATCTATGTGGAAAGTAGCGTAAAGTGGAAAATAAATGTCGGTAGAGTAAGGAATTAAAAGCATGCCAGGGGTAATGCCATTGTGCCTCAACAGGGGGCACAAGATACATTACTCACTAAGGGTTTAACAGATTTCTGCAGTCCGGATCACAAGTTAGCTGATGCTTTCAAACTGGTGGCTAAAATCTTCTTTTACAGAAATACCATTTCACCAGCAGCTTCCTTCCTATCCTCTACAATAGCACACAAGCAATTTTAAATCCGTCTTCTATCCCTCCAGGCTCAAATTAAAGAAAATATATCTATTTTTTCCCATGTCTTCTGAGGCCAGTATTTCCAAGGTTCTATTTGAAAACCCCTGTATTATGTGGGCAGGGATATATAGTAACCCTATTTGATTGAAGCACAAGGGCTGACAAGGCCCTCAGTACATTTTTTGAGCTGTAGAAAAAGAAAATATTTTTGTGATATGAGTGAGATGGGTCCACGTATAAAAGCATGAGTCAAAACCCTTAAGAGGGCATCTTAACGTAACATCTCCTTTTTTTATTGACTTACTTTTTTCAGTAGAAGAACAGAAAACCGCAAAAGATGGAAGAGTGTCATTTGTGTGCTTGAGATGCTCAACAGAAACACACAAACATTTGTGCCTCTAAATCCACATCTCATACCTGTAATTTGCACAGAGCGGAAGCCTGGGTGCACTCTGAGATTGCCAGATTCAGACACAGCCACATAGTTGTTAACACTCAAAACGCAGGGTTTTCATCCCTGTGGCGTTTCCCCCCCCGAGATCATGCCAAGCCTGCTCCAGAATGTGTGTGGGAGGAACTGCCTGGTCGGGAGAATGTTGCTGTAGGTGTTGCTTGAGAAATGTATTCATTTATATTTATTTTCAAAGAAGCTGCAGAAGCAGGAGTCGTCATGCACTAGACGCTGGTTGCAAGCATGTGTTAAAGCATGAATCACATAAATAGGTTTTATTGGGGGCTACGCAAGAGGGGCACGTCTGCAAACCAGACACTCAGCAACATTCTGCACGCTCCTCATATTTCTGGGCCTACTGGGTGCACACTCAGCAAACTGGAGACCTTCTTGCAGGCAGTCCTGTTGACAGACACTTCATCTCCAAGGCAGATTCTCTCTGCACAAAATGTGAGCCGTGGTGAACCTTTGTTGCCAAGTTCGCCTGCACTGTAAGACTGTGCCTTTTATTACAGCATTTTTGTAATATACTCTGGAAATCCACATTTCCTGCTTCTTGTAATTCCCGGGGTCTTGGTCTGGCAACCAACTGAAGCGACTTATGAAATTGGCGTTTTACAAATGAAAGACTCAAGACAAAAAAAATACACGTACTGTTCAACAAAGGAGGATGAGAATGGAGGTAATTCACTGGGCCTTTAAACTAATTCCTTTATCCTTAGTGGAATTTCTCGCTGTCGAGTCAGAGAATATCTCAGCTAGAGCTTTCACTCAACGTCCTTAGCAGAGGCTTAATGTCAGCACCAAGTGCTGTAGGTCTCCCCTAACAGCACTAGCCAGGTCGAGCTCTGTTGGCAACCTTATATTGTAGTGTTGTTGTTGTCATCAGTCATCCCTTGCTAGCCTTTTGGCCTGCTAGTTGTCAGTTTGTTAGGCAGAATTACAATTTAGATGGGTAGATGAGATGTCAGTGTGATGTGACCTTGGCTTTGCTCAGGGCAACCCATAGCCTGATATTCTGTGACAGACTGCAAACATGATGAGATTACTTAAATACGGATGTATCCAGTGGTGTGGCGTGGAATGTATCCACTTCCTTTTAAGTTAGCACAGAGCACTGAGTATAGTCTGTTTTCAAGCATCCATGGGGCTTACAGTTAGTAATAATCATGGTACAGGCCTAAGCACTAGTGAGTAGGGCTTCTCGATAATGGCAAAAACATTATCACTATTATTTTGGTCATTATTTAACACAATTACTAACTGACTAAGGAAACATCACACATTTACTGAATTTTTAAAACTGAATGCTTCATTTTTTTTAGAATGATTATAAATGCTTTGCTACGAAAATCCCAAATAGCCCATGAAATAAGACATAGTGATCCAACATTATTAACTTTATACAGCATCTTAGAGGCAAGAGCTTGACAGCAACCCAAAGTTTGCCTAGGTTGACAGCTTAGGTCGGGCAGATGGGCCGCAGAGGAGCTCCAACAGTGAGTAAGAAAAGTATAAATTAGTATAAATAATACGTAATTTGTTAAGCTATGAGTAGAGTCCACTAGCTACTAGGCTAATTTATAGTTTTATAACAAAACGAGAGCGTCATTGTGTAATGGAATGTGGGAAAATAATCGTTTTATCTAGATTAACTTGTGTTCGTTGGAAGCCAAATCGTGACTGAAAAGAATTTGATTAATTACACAGCTCTACTAGTGAGGAAAAAAATTTCTGTACTGAAAATGTTATATATTAATAAAATGTATTCAAAAGGTGCTATATGTTTTAATATTTTATAATTGGATCAAATGATGACGTGTAATGCGAAAGGGATCGCTCGTAGTGACACATCCACAGAGCATGATCACCTGACTCTTCAACTTTGCAGAGCATTTTAAGTTCTTTCAGCTCTTTGTTTTGCTTTTCTGGTCTGCAACTTTACTGTTTGGGTTCAGTCTCTCAGCTCGCCTCAGTCGTTTCCAGCAGCAGCAGGCAGCTGTTTACAACTACAAAGCTCTGATAAACCCACTGTACACTACCTGCCCAGCTTCAAACAACAGACAGACCAAGTTAGCAACTAAGCTGGCGTGGCAAACATCACATATAATTGTGGCCCCCTTACAAGACTCCTGTAGAGCTCTGCTTCATCACCCGTGTAGAGGGACAAACACACACACAGAAAGACACACAGTCACCCCGCTATACCTCTACACAAATACTAATGGGCACAGCCGGTAACGCACGCACAAAATGCTCAGGAGATATCCGCTCATCTCTCAATGAGATGAGCTGGGAGGAGGAGGAGCACGTTACTTTTCAAAGCAGAAGAAGACGGTGACAACTTCTGCAAAGCTCAATTAGTGCCAGGGCACTGAAGAGAAGGGGCTTTGTGGAACTGCAGTGCATGAGAACTGGGTTAGAAACAAAGTTAAGGTGAAGTGATGGAGTGATGCTCAGTGCAGAGCTATATAATTCATTTTGTCTAAGTAGCTATGATTAAAGCCAAGGTGTTGCGGTGTGACAGGCTGGAAAATTATAATAGATTAACTGATGATGTGAGGAAGCGACACACACATTCATACATGTATGTTTGTTTCGCACGCTCAGACAAACACCTCACTGACTCAATTCTCTCAGCCATCTGCCTTGCACTAGGATAGTTGGCTGCATTTGTGCAGAACTGGATACACACCCGTGCGAACACCTCTGTACAGACACACCAATCCACAAACACACCGAGTCCTCACCCGGGCATGTCAAAAAGTGATGTTCATCGATCCGGTCTGCGTGCAGGGTCTCTTCCTCCTTCTACACAAGTTCCATTTAGTTACTGCTCCATTTCCAGCACACTTACAACACACAGCAACTCCATCGAATCAGGGGGACATGATGGCGTATCACTTTCTACAACTCATAGGGGAGTTTTACAGCGCTGTTAAAGACTGGAGAGAGATGGAGGAAGATAAAGAGAGGGGCAGATGGAAAAACAGAAAACAAATACAAAAATTCCTCTGTCCCCCTCAGTCAATTTTCAGTAACAGTTTTTTTCTCTTACGTAGTCATTCCACGTTCACAGGAATATCATAATAACACACAGACCTTTGCACTCATCACCTTTGGTTAATGAAATGCTGGTGATGAGCAGCAATGTAGGAGAAGGCGCTTTTTGCTGTTACTGTCATTGTTCAGTCTCTCCAAGTAAGTGAAACAGAAAGACAGAGTGAAAAAAACGCTTATAGAGCAGCGCTGACCACAGGGTCACATTCTACCCCTATGAAACACATGCATAAAGAAATGAGGCCATTTCCAGTGGGGAAGCCTCAAG